TGGGTACATAGACCTCAGATGTACAGATAGGGCCAACCCTACAGAATGTCCCCGTGAACTACTTTATTGAACTACTCTCCAAGTTGCTGTCCTTATGTAAACCAAATGACAATACTGACTTTCTTTCTGTAGCATCCAAACTCACCAGAGATACCCTCCACCTTGAACAACCCTCTGGCATCCAGACAGAGCTGGATTCTACTCAGAAATCTAGTCATGGACCCTACTATAGCTTGGATGGGGTACCACTATTGGATCTCCCCCTCAGCTCAGCAGATGAGGCAGTGACTGAAGCCCTGTTTCAGCCATCGCCTGTGCTGAGAGCCCGTCCATGTTGTAGTACTGTAGCAACAAATGGGAAAAACCCAGGGATGGAAGCAGCATCAATGGATGAGGTTCTCTTTTTGAAATGTCCCCTTGTCATAGCAGAAGAAGAAATGTCCCAAGCCATGATTCAGCCATCACCTGTGTTAGGAGCTCCTCTACATTGTGTAGTGGCAGGGAGCATAATTAAGCTAAGTTTTAGCGCATCCCTTACTGTCTTCTCCCATTTCGCTGACTTTAACCTATCTCTGATCAGTCTGATGTATTCATTATTAACATTGCCATGTTCTCTTGTCTTGTTCCAGCATCAATTTATTTTCTATTGCCAGTGTCATTACCTTGATGTGAAGCTGTGGTAATTTGTTTGATCAATTGGGAAGTCAGAAGGCTATTACTGGTATTGCTTGTTAGAGGGACTATTGCCTAGGTGAGTTGACTGCTGTTGTTGTCCCTTCAGGCTAATGGTAAGATGATGCTAAGTGTCTGAGCGTCACTGTCTTGCTCAAGTCTTTCTTACTTGAGCTTCAAAAAAAGATTTTCACAATTTTCAATAGAGGCTTTTGGTTCTTAATTTAACTGTTATCATTGCAAGGTTTTTCTGAATGTGCATTTTGTTTTGTGCTGGTATTATGTGTTTATTTAGTCTGTACCAGCTATTCTGTCAAATGCTTTGTGATGCTTTTCTAAAATGCCGATATGATTCATTAATATTTTTAGTCAAGTTATATTATTTGTTCAGTTATTTATCTACAGTCATTAAGTTCAGAGTTTTAACCTTGAAATCTTGATTTGTTCATTGTACCTTCATTAACTATGATTCCGTTTTCTGTTTCACTAATTAATGCTTCAAGCATGTTTATTGTCTTAATTGGCATGATGGTCATGAGTGGTTAAATTACCTTAAAATATTTCTCATGTTCCAAAGCATTGTCATGAGTGTTGCCAATTTAATTCCCGTCAATTAATTTTAGTTATGTATGCTTTTTGGTTAACTGGCACACGAACCACCTCTGCCTGCCCATGCTCTAATTTCTAGTACACTTTTAGAATCCACTACACATTCGCAATCCACACATTACTTTTATTAATCATTAATACCCTTAGAGTTTGTTTTGTACTTGAGTTGTGTGTTTTGGTTAATTTTGTACAAGATCCCTTAATTAATTTTATAGAGAAAGTGTTTCATTATCCTTTCACTTAGATAGTTACCTCTAAATTCATAAGCAGACAACGAGTTTGTCTCACCTGCTAGAGACACACGGTAACAGTGTGACTGCAGCTGTATATGGTAAAAGCCCAGGAACAGACCCACAGGCCTTGAGGGAAAGTAGCAATCACCACCCATTGGAAGGCAAGATTAAGTCAACCCCAACAACTAAAAATGCACGTATTACACAATCTTCAAAATGTCAATCCAAAAACAAATAAAAGTACGTCAGTGGAACTGTCACAGCCTCTGAAACAAGCTGAGCAATTTCAAACTACACCTTTACACTACTAAGCTACACATTGTTTGCCTGACAGAGACTTGGCTTGCCTCATCATATGAACCCTGCTTAATAAACTATACAGCCATTTACAAGCATAGAAATGCCAACCATGCATGTGGTGGTGGCCTTGCTATCCTTGTTTGCAGCAATGCTCCTTTTACTGGCCTTGCAATAAATCCCTTTAACCAAGGTAAACTAGAATTTTTAGGGCTAACTGTTTTTCTGCAAGGAAATAAACCCATGTCAGGTCTCAACATCTACAACCCTAATGAAACTGACCCACCAAGAATTCACACACTACTTTGATCAACTGGCACCCTCTTGTGTCATTGTTGGTGACTTCAATGCTCATAACCCCCTATGGGAGCCTGGCAAGGTAGCCAATGCAACAGGTCGAAATTTGTGTCAGTTCTTGCAAAACCATCCATAGCTCTACTAACCCCACCATCTCTGCCTACCTACTTCAGCATTTATCACAACTCCTTCTCAACACTGGATCTAACCTTCATAGACGCTGACCTTGTCCCTTTATCAACAATTTACACTGAGGATGATATGGGTCGTGACCACTATCCAGTGGTCACCTGCATTGGAATTGAAGCCTCCACTGTGCAATACTGGACTCGTCCCTCCCGGATGTTTGGTGATGGGTCTGCTGCTCTCACTCACTGGTGGGTTTGCTGCCTGGTCTGCTGCTCTCACTCAGCAAGGCATACATCCAGACAACAACATAGAGGCAAGTAATCACAACATTACTCGTGCAATAATTTCAGCTAGCTTGCAGTCTTTTCCTAAGATAAAAGAGATCATCACTCCACGCTTTAACAAACCCTGGTGGAATCAAGCATGTGCTGATGCAATGGAGGCCAAACATGCTGCTAAGCGTGCCCTGATTGCAATCCCATCTGAACCAAACTTAATTAATTTTAAGCGCTGCAAGGTAGTGGTCAAGAGGGAGGTCAAGCTTGCTAAAAATGCTTCCTGAACTAAGTACTGCAGCTCCATAACCTCAGATACCCCTATTTCAGAAATATGGCATAAAATAAAGCAACTACAAACACCTTTCCAAAGAAAAACTCAGCCCTTCATTTTGTCAGACTCCTCAATAATTTCTGATTTCCCATCCAAAGCTAATGCACTAGCCTCCCATTATGAAGAAGTGCTATCATTGCCTGTGCCGGCTCCTTATCCAAGATTTGTAACCCTTCCACTAGCAATAGCCCTGAACGAGGAAGTTAATTCCCCCCTAAATGCTCCATATCAGCTGCAAAAAGTTGATTCTTGCATACATTCGCTGAGGAGCACATCCCCTGGCTCTGATCAGGTGCACAACCAACACCTTGTTCATCTCCCTCTAGATTTCTGCATCTAGCTGATAGGGATATTCAATCAAAGTCTGGAAACTGGCACTATTCCACAAATTTGGAAGGAAGCAGTGGTCATCCCCATACCTAAACCTGGCAAACCACTCGCATGCACTTCCTCCTACAGACCTATTTCCCTTCTGTCGTGCATTGGAAAGCTAATGGAGTCAATGATAAAAAAAACGTCTCACTTACTTCCTTGAGCAGAAGCAGGCCCTGCGCCCTTCCCAAGGGGGATTTCGTTGCTGTATGTTGGCAATTGATCAGGTAGCCAGACTGGAATCTGCTATCCATCGTGCTCTCCACACAATGTCTGCATTGCTGGTCTGTTTTGTAGATCTTAGCAGAGCTTTTGATAGGGTGTGGCATACATGCCTCCTTTATAAACTCAGTTGCTTTGGAGTACAAGGCTCACTTTTGAGATGGTTTCATGCCTATTTGAGTGAAAGGATCTTTAAAGTCTTCTATGAAGGAAAATACTCCTCTAGACCTATCAAATCCGGGGTACCTCAAGGTGCAATACTTTCCCCAACTTTGTTCAATGTGATGATGAACAACATGCCCTCTACTCAAGGAGTCTCAGTTGCTGAGTATGCTGATGATGTCACATTTTTTGTTAGTCACCCTAACACCCAAGTAGCCACTAATTTACTTTAAGCACAAATTGATTCATTTGTAGACTGGACACTCAGATGGGGCTTAAAATTAAATTGGGAAAAAAACCAAAATTATGTGCTTCATCACCAAAAAAGTTCACAGTCTGCCCATCTAAGCCAATGGACACAATCTAGAATTTGTTCAGCAACACAGGTACCTTGATGCTGAACCTTCACACAGGTATCCAGGTACCTTCAGCAACACAGGTACCTGGATGCACCTTGCCTCAGATGGAGGCCTCACATAGACATGCTGAAAACGTCATGCTTGCCAGTACTCAATCTTCTGAAAACCATATCCCACAGGCATTGGGGTGCTGATCATCAGACACTTATAAAGCTCTACAAGATCTTACTCTGTAGCAAGCTTGATTACGCCTCTCCATTCTATGCATCAGCAGCGCAATCGCACCTATCCAAACTGAACATGCTCCAAAACAGTAGCCTCAGAATTGCTACAGGCTGTGGAAAAATTACTCCAATCACTACCTTAGAAATTTAAACAAATATTCCTCCCCTTAAAATCCAAAGAGAATTAATGTGCAGATATTATTCCAGGCTACGGCAGCTCCCCAAGTGCCCAGCCACCAACGAGCTCATCCTTGCCAGGCACTCCTGTCCAGAAAATGAGCCCTGCTCCTTTGTTCCCCCATACCAGGGCAATATTCAGCAGCATTGGCCTCCCTTGTCCATGCTTCATTGCATCCCCTTTGATTTCGCCTCTGCCTCAATGGTTCAATGTTGACAATAATATTTTTACCAATTTTAACAGCATCCCAAAGTCATCCCTCTCACCTGCTGCCATCACGCAAATGTTTCATGATCTTNCCCTTCCTCTCTTATTTTATGTCTATATTCTTTCGACCCTCAATCTCTGATTATTCCTGACATGTACTATGCCCTATGAGTGCTTTTATGTCCTTTGTTCTGCCTTCCATTTTTCTCATTCTTTTCCCCTTTTTTTCCTCATTTCCTGGTCTCTTTCTTTTTTCTCTTCCTTTCTTGTATTTTTATTGATTTATTTTTGATTTTGTAATTGTTTTATTTGTATTTTAATTTATTTTTCTAATTTATTTATTTGTTTTATTTGTTTTTTTGTATTATTATTATTTTCATTTTTTATTTTTTCAATTATTTTTCTTTTTTTCTTTTTTTTCTTGTTTTTTTTTGTGTGTGTGTGTTTTTTCTTGCAGATTCTTTCAGATTATTAGACACTTAGATTGTTACTATATGATAGTTAGGCATAAACCAAGAACTGTTTAGGCAAGGGGCAAAATGGACCAGTTTCCAGTGCTCCTATAAGAAGTAACAAGAAGAAGAAGACGTACCTCCATCCACTTAATTATAGTCTACAGCAGCATCTTTGACTTTAAGTAGGTACTAGGTCTATTTATCCTATGTAATACATATAGCTTCAGTAAAGACTAAAGACCCAAACAATAGATTTGCAGTTCTTATTTAATTATGTTTAAGCGTAAACTTAAAGCTTTGCTGCATCCTGATCCTGATCACTTCAATATAAAAGGTGAGTGCTGCTCACTGTTGTGGGCTGCCTGCTGTGTAATGTGTACCTATTCATAGATTTTAGGGAAATTCATTTGATTAGTTCAGATTTGAGAAACTGTATTATGACTATATGAGAGTGTGTGCATTGTCATTGTGGAATAACTGATATTGACTGCTAAAAAAGGACCCAAGAATCTGAACTAAATTGCAAAAATCCCTAATTCTTAATTGACTTGTATGTGCATAATAAAGGAAATTTCTGCCAGAACTACAGCTGTACAAGTCCGGAATTTTCCTACTTGTTTTGGAAATCAGGCTGCCCTAAGGCCTAAGTGAGAAACTTTCATTGCCACCAAACAGGGCAATAAGGGATGGGCAGGGTAAATCAGGACAGTCCTCTGACATTTTGTAAAATGTTGTAGGAGCCTAACTAATTGAAATATTGAAAAAGTAAATATGGGATGTAAAGTTCAACATTTTTCCAATCTATGTGGCATAAAGCCAATTAAGAAATTATACATTTACTACCTCTAAAAAACCACTGAAAAAATGTAAAAAGTAAGATTTAGAAAAGTACCTTGACCTGGGTCTGTGGCAAAATTTTTTTGCCATAGTAAGAAATTTTACTTGCATAAAAGTTGCACACAGGTGTTATCTTGCAAGCCTGATTGGGTGAATTTGCATAGCTCATTCCAGAGAAAATGGCTGCCATTTCTGTACTACAGGACGTTAACTAAGGGACACCCCATGGGGTAACCAGGCTGTAAAGTAGGTCCTTTCAGCTTGAGATATTGGCCTCTTTTCAAGCTCTCCATCAGTCACCTTGACCTTAAATTAGCATCCATGTCCGATCATAAACTATGGCTTGGGCATCTATGACTGCTCATAAACTATGGATTGCTTGATCAGTGATGCGCATCTTCAGCTTGTTTGATTACTTGTAGCTGTCATACTTGATCATACTTGATCATAATGTGCATGCATATGGCTTGCCCAATGCAATCTATTGTGTTTTAATGTAATCTATTACATTCCAGCACGATCTTTTGCATTCCAACGCAATGTTATGTGTTCTAACGCAATCTATTGCATTTTAACAAAATCTATTGCATTGTTGTGGTCCGGTCAGCAGGGATCCACAAAAAGCTATGTGAAGATTAGCTCAATCACCCCAAGATGCAATACTTAGCAAAGCCTACTCTCCAACCCTGAGAACAAATTTGGGCAATGAAACACCAGTTATTCCCAAACAACGGTATACTTTAGAACTAAGGACCTAAACTCTAACAGCAGATATTGGATTGAGGTAGCAGGTTGTATCTCAGGTAGCAAAACATAACCTTCACAGGTTGATTTAGGCTGCCCTATGGGGAAAGTCTTGGTTATGGAAATATGGTACTTGGCTTGACAATTTCACAGCACAACTGGTACAATGGATATGCAAAATACCGCATCAGAAAAGCACATCCTAGCCTACGACACCTGATGATCAGTAAACACACCATATACCATCAGATAAGTAACCAGACATGAGATATAGTAGATACAGGGATAAAGACAGAACTTTGTATAGAGGAAATGGTTATTAACTTAATTTCTGGGAGTAAGTGGTGCACCATTAGTACACATTACCTGATGCACAGCTCAATGATATACTGNAACTTTGTATAGAGGAAATGGTTATTAACTTAATTTCTGGGAGTAAGTGGTGCACCATCAGTACACATTACCTGATGCACAGCTCAATGATATACTGCTTGGGGCAATGTAGTTGTGGTCTTTTAGACTACCCCAAGCATGCACAGGCAATCACTCCAGGCACACACACCCCTGATTATTCACCTGTCTAGTAGCAGGGGAGCCAAGAGTCACTGACCACTAGGGATACCAGGCGGAGCACCACCCAGAGAACCAGAAACCTCATGGACACTGGAAAATTGCAGGATACTCACTATGTCTTGTAGTGAGCAAAAAATAAGACACCAGAAATTGGACAGGACACTATAATTAAGGTTCTTAAACAATTACATAAGACATGGCTTCTATCCTACTTGGTCATAGGACTTTTCAGTCTATGAAGTGTATATTCTTATTCTACTGCAAAAGGTTACTTGACAAACAAGTATTTGAACAGAGTTTGGGTTCAAATCGATGCAAAGCAAACAACAGAACACTTACATACTACTCTTAACTAGAAAACAACCAGGTATATTCTATGCTTAATGTAATCCTCAAGAATGGCAAATCTCAATGTGGCATGGATAAATAACTAAATAACTGGCCCCAACTGGAGCAGACTAGCAACTAATATCACCAAACGCTAGTGCAATGGAACTAACCTAACAACATTGATCTTATTTACTCAAAATAGTAGGGCACTGGACTAGTTACATTAGGTTACTCCTGGCACAGTAAATCAAGTCACAGTTCTAATTAACTACGTTGTTGCAGTCTGGTCAACAGGGATTCACAAAAGCTATGTGAAGATTAGCTCAATTACCCTAAGATATAACACCTAGCTAAGCCTACCTCCAACCCTGAGAACAAATTTGGGACAATGAAACACAGGTCATTCCCAAACAACACTATACTAAAGCTAAGAACCAAACCAAGAGCCATTGTTACAGGATAATTCCTAGGGCCCCAAATATCATTCACAGGATAAGCTAGGCAACCACCCTCCAGAGGAAAATCATTCAGGGGTGACTGCAGTATTTGTCCAAGAGCCAAATTTTACAATATGGTCCAACTTTGCGGTAAACAATAACTTTAAACAGAACATCCTAACCTGTGACATAAGGGAATCAAAATTACAGTAAGATATGCAATAGCCTAGAAGTCTTGGTTGGCACGGAGACGAATAAAGGTCCTGGAAAGGAGAGCACAATAAGAAATGGTGGTGATTCCTCAACAGTAGACTAGAACAGTAAGAGCACTCTTTTTACCTGGTCCCCGTATCACCCTGATGTAAAGTACTAATGCAATGTAGTTGCATCACTCTCATAGACACCACAGGCACACCTAAGCACTCCCCCTCACAACAACACCCCAGGTACAGGTGATACCATACTGGGTAGCAGGAACCAGGAACCTCAAGAGAGGCAAGGACTGTCAGGACACTCACTATGTCTCCAAGTGAGTTAAAGAAACCTAGACATTAGCAATAGGACAAGAAACAAGGGTTACATTGGCTAAATAATAATAATGATAAGGCTCTTATTCAACTTGATCACAAGACTNTGCCAAAGCATAATTGGCTACCGGCGTCCAGTGGCATCTACCTTGGCATCTTTGGTGCATGAAATTGGTGTGCTTGACCTATGTTGTGCCACGCTATACAGTCTGGCGGGGTAATAAGGGACACCCCTTTAAACACAATTACAGTAGAACCTTGGTTAGCAAAGGCTCTAGTTAACAAAAAATCAATTAACAACAAAGTATTTTGATTGCATTTACCTTGCTCAGCAAAAAATATTTCACTTAATGAAAAATTAATGCATCTTTGGTCATCACAAAATTGTGTACAGAATGTCTTGAATAGAATTGTGCGCTAGGCAACATGGAATTAAAAGTAATAAACCTAAACTAAGACTTTTTGGAGAAAAATATGATGGTGATTTCAAAAATATTCCTTTCTGTTTCATGCATTTTTAGCACATTTTCTCATTTATGGAAAAAATGCACTATTGTGTTTGCCATGTCCGTCTGTCTGTCGGTGACTTAGCATTTTTTTTTGTCGAGAAAATGCGCTCTCTGTCACTCACTGCAGTGAGTACTGAGTTATATTTTTTATGATCTTTTTCTGTTATAGTGATTCATTTGACCCAATTAAAATTGCGCAAAATTACAAGCCATCCTATAAGCTTAGCAGAACAAATGCCATATGGCTGCTGATATGAAGCTTGCAGTGGTTAAGGTCATTGTCAATGATCAATGGTATGTCCATGGATTAGGATATATCACATCAATAATACAGTAAAGTATGTATATGGTAATATTATATCAATAAAGAAAAAACAAGTACAAATCACAGAAAATGTTATTTATTCTACATCATCTACAAAGGAAGTGGAGGACTTCAGAGTATAGTTAGGAATATATAAGTACACTCTGCATGCTTCAAATGTTTTAAAATTAAGTTTTATTTCTAGTGTCCCTTGTTGCCCCATTCCCAGGGTTAATTTGGGAGGCTCTTATTTTGTGTCTGGCACCTTACCAGTAGCAGCTCCAAGATTATCAAGATGAACAATGTGCAAAAAATTCTGTAAGTAATTTTGAGGTATTTTTATATGCATTATTATATGATCACTGATGTCATAAAATTAACTTTGAAAGACTTGATTCAGAATAATATATTATTAATTCAAAATATTGCTAAAAGTTTGAAGCTACAAGTACAAGATAATTAAAAATAAGGATTTTTCATATCCAAAAGAGGCACTATCGTAAAGAAAGATGAAAGTAAAGATGAAAACCGTTCTTGATGATTATTCCCTTGTATGTTAGTGTTACCCTTTAAATTTAATTATTTTAATGCCTGTTTTTTTAGTCAAGTGCTGAAATCTTTTCCTGCAGATGATCAGAGCATCCGTCAATTGGTAGTCTGGCTTGAAGACCACAAAATCCGACACTACAAGATTGAAGACAGGACTGCACTGAAGCAAACCAAGGATGAAAAATGGCCAAATGTCTTCAAAAAATATCTCAATGATCTTAAATGTCCACATCCTCCCCAGGCCTTGCATTCTGTTACTGACTGGCTTTTAGGCCTTGCTGTGCAGCTGGAATATGGAGAAAATGGTAATTCATTTTCCCTGTTGTTGATCATCACATAAGTTGTTGCAGTAATTATTTTGAAGCTTTATTGGCTGACTCATAATCACTAGTGACTGAAATGTGTCTAGTAATGAATTATTATGGCATAACTTATATCATTATTTCTCTCCAATTTAACAAATTTCTAGTGATCAACTAAGCAGTTTGTAAAAAAGATATATTACTATAAAAATAAATAAATACATTTATGTATGTTTTTATTTTCATGTACCGGTACTCATGATAGATTTTATGGAAATTCATTTCTCACATTAGCAGCTTTGAACCTTGAGTATTGTATTGAAATCTAGAGTATTGAGTATCATATTGCTTGAGCTGAAACATAAGAATGATCTTGGCAGTGCAATTCAAGTTATTCAACCCAATCCAATCTTCATTCAGAGTGGTGGAATAAGTAAAGATATTGCTGGCAATATTTGAGTTGTTTAAAGTGTATATTTTCCTGTTTCTGCAGTTGAGAAGTACAGTGCTCAGAAGGCAGCGCATGTTGCGAGTCAGCGGAGTGCAGCACCTCAGGTCGTTAACACAAATCCCTTGGATGCACTTGACTTCTCATGTCCAGAGTTTAGAGGTATGATTTCTCATTCTGTTTGTCAAAATTTACCAAGTATTTAAAAAAAATTTTCACCTATTATTTTTTCTACCTCATTAATTCCAATTTCATAACACCACCTTGTGTCAAATCTGGTGATAACACTTTATGAAAATGCTTTGAATTTTCTTTTTATATCTGGCAGAAGTAAAAATTATTATTCTATAGCATTTTCTATTTTTCAATCTATATTATTTATTTATCTACTTTTACAGTTAGGAATCTAGTATATTTTAATCTTAATTAATTTTATTCCATAAATAGTGATTTATAGATTTTTTTGTAGGTATTTTTATTCTGCATTTGTTAACATGAATATCCAACCACTGTAATCATTAACATTTTCCTCTATCATTTGCTGTTTGTCAGCATAAAATTTCCTATTTGCCAGATGGGGTTAATAAATTGGCAGAAATACTGAACATCCAGGCCCATCCTGATCATCTAGTCACTTTGAAAGCTGTCAGCCACCTTGTCAAGACGCGATTGTCACAAGAGGCGTTAGCTTCTCCCGGAGAAGTCATTCACCAGGTGAGTGAAAACAGCTGCATTCTCAGCTATAATACCGTGTTGCAGTTGCGGTAAACATCAAAACTAAGGGACTCGTAGAACAGCTCAGGAATAATAATACGGCAAATAGCATATTGAGCAAATTTTATAAAAGAACTGACGTTGCCTAGGCGTGTAGTAGAAATTGTCTGACGCCTAATTATTGGCCTATAAGCAATCAGTTGCAATTGGTGAGAAAATAACTAATTAGTGTTCAAAATATTGATTCTTAAATAATGAAAGAACGAATGAAGTGGACCAAATGCACTAGGATGTGCGTTTTGTGTTTTTTTCTGTTCATTGTTGTCAAACATTGCATCAGCTAAACGTAACTTTAATTTATATTATACATATAACCTATCTTAAAGCATTCCGACGTTAGTAACCACGAGCTTAAAAATATCCGTGATACAGTAAAGATATCTTAAATACCCAAAATATTTTTACATGTCTGCAAGAATTACATTTTTTGTCAGTGAGACGTACGTAGTAGCTGTCGATTTTTTTCTGATTTTAAGCTGCCTCTTTCCAACTGCTTTGAGGTCTCCTGAGTAATGTTTAAACAACCTTAGTGACCGCGGTTGAAAATTTCTAGCTACCAAATCAGGGCAGCTTGCTGTGATTGAATAAATCAGTCAATAACAGTCGAGTTTAACTGCATGCCATTGAAATAATGAATCGAGCTCACCCCAATTGTTGATGATGCAATTCCAAATTAATTTCGTATCAACATTAATCTTACTAATCCTTGAACAAGTTTCATTACTGTTGTGTATCAGTGTATGCTTAGTTTATAAAACTTTAAGTGATCTAAACTTCAATCATATTTTCTACTGAAATGTGCATGTACCGTAGTTTTAAAATGATCAAAGTTTCATTTTAGTGAGATTCTTTTTATTAGGAAAAGTAAGATATTACTATTACGTTAATATAAATTTTGAATTCTCGAAGTAAGGAATAATAAACGTCACTTGGATTAAGCCTTACGGGTCGATCATTCATTCACACTTCATGCAGTACCTATCTGTTATTAAGTTAGCTGAAGTTTCTGATAGAATTTCAGGTACCATTTCCTGTGTTTTGCCTTTTGTAAATTACATTTTAGTTTTCAATACAATTACTCTCCTTATTCTTATTATCAGTGCTACTGCGTATGCTTCTGCATTTATGACTGGAATTGATTACCGCTACGTTGTGAAGTGATGTAATTATACTGTCATGGGCTCAATCAAATCGCTGCACGATCTCTAGTATTAAACCTGTGAATAAGTTTTTAATATGCTGTTAATTAAGATTAAATGTCATATTTTTTGTGTTCAGGGCAAAGCCTACCCTATTTTCGACGCGGACCTTGGTTTTGAGATGGGGGACAAGCGTCTGAACGACGCGGGTAAAGTGCTTCGTCTGCTCTACATCCAAGACCTGAGAAAACTCCAGACTTCCATCAACGAGTGCATCGTCGCCACTCAAACCATCACCGCTAATCCCAAAACCGACTCACGTCTTGGCAAAGTTGGCCGCTGAGAGAAAACTTACTATCTAGATTTACACTCACGTGTAGACTTCTCTATGTGACCTCTACTTCTACACTAATAAAATCATCATAATTTAAAATAGATTTTTATCTTAAAACCCATTCGAATATTTAAATTTCAAATTTTGCGTTGCCAAGTGTTCATAGGTAGAAGTTATTTTTATTACTATTAAAAATCTATTTCTACACAGTTTGAGCGCTATTGGTTAACAGTTTATTGGAGCTTTCGACCCCACAACTCATTGCTCCTATCTAATTTTTTTCCATACGTCCACCTCGCCGAATTTTGACTCGAAATTACACAGTCAGCTGGGATTGGACCCTCAAGCGACTACTGAAATGTTATTACTGTGAACTTTAACCGTTTGACCTTGGCCCCCCTTGCCTAAATTCTAAACGTCACCATGCTGCATCTCAGAAGGAATTGTCCAAGGTGACGAATTACAGCAGTTTTTCTTTTTTGTGGGATATCTTGCCCATCTAGAGCCGAGATGAGGTTCCAAATAAGCCTCCAAACTTGAGTGAAACTCCCTACTCCGGTAGGTGTAAAGCGCACGGCTAAAGATGAATTATCTAGTTGTGTCGTCAGTGTTGCCTTCACTCCACTGTTGCATTCTAGTTGTCCTTCACTCCAGCATGTCCAAGTCGCAGTCAGGCCACTGCTCATTCAACTGAGCGAGGTAGCGATCCATAGTCCACATAATTTACCAACACTCCTAGATCTAGCCTGAAGTAAGGACTGCATTTCTTGCGCCCACCAGAGTGCCTAATGTTCCAAAAATTTGGGCTTCAACAAACACAGCCACTCTTCTAAACACAGACTGGATCTTGCAGAGCGATCGTTAGAGTGTGCAAGATTTGCCATTCTGTCACCCACTTCGTTTCCGCGTAAGGCAAGATGCTGCTAGGGCCACGAGGTCAGCAATTTTATGCTGCTAGGGCCATGAACACTCAAGCCCCTTAGTTTGCAGCAAGTTCAAAATTATAACAGCGATCGAGTAATAGGAGTCACCTGACGTAGAAAATTGAAGCTGCAATGCTTCTCGTGAATCAGTCAAAAAAATACTGGCTCACATTGCAGAGATACATCAGTGGTGACAAGTTGCATAGCCTGGTGTATAGCAAACATTTCGGCTCCTAAAACAGTGTGCATTGAATTCAGCAGCCACTCGGTGGCCAAATGAGTGGATGACAGAAATAGGCCAGAAGATACTGATCCAGCGGCAGAACGCGATCAGTCGGTACAGATTTGCAAATGTTGAGGATAGCACTGTTTCCATAAGTCTTGGAAGCAATTTTGTGTGTGTTGAGAAGGCACAGAATTAACTGCAGAGCTCAGCGAGTCCACGCAGATACTGGAGGAAAATTCAACAGGAGACAGATACGCAGTGGTGGGCAGTAGCGCGCTACATGTAGCGGCCGCTACATTTTCAGTAGCGGTAGCGGCGCTACATTTAAGGCAATGTAGCGGTAGCGTTAGCGCCCGCTACATATTTAAGTAGCGATACGAGGTTTTGCCGCTACAGCGCTACCGCTACATTTATAGATAAAGCCTTTAGATTTTACTTAGTAGTATTAAATATTATTTAAAAACAGCATGATACATACATAATATAAATTAGAGAATAAAACTGTACGAAAGATTTCGGTGTAATGTTGTCAACCTCAGCCTGTTACTAGTGTCAACATGTTAGTTGTTAGTCCAGAGGTGGGCAGTAGCAAGAAAACGTTTCGGAGACCAGCTCCATAGTCAGTTCGTAGAATCTAGAATCATAAATTAATACATTGAAACCATAGAACGAATTGAATTTCTTTAATTGTTAATTGATTAATTTAGATTTTCAATTTGATTTAAATTTTTAATATAATTTAAATTCTTAGTTTATTTGCGATTAAAGCATACAAGTGATATCAATTTTTTAATAGCTATCTACTAAGCGCCGCGCTTGTGTTGCATGAGGCATGGCCCCTGTCAATCGCTAGCTCGTCAATCGGTCAAGAAGCGCATGCAGAGGCTGCAAAGCGCCTCTGCATGCGCTTTGAGGCACTTGACTCTCGTGTGTTGCCCCTAGTGTAAACGGGCCTTAATAAACTCTCTAAGTCTCTGTTAAACCAGCTTGAAACTGCTCAGGAAACTGGGCAAGTAGCGCTGCCCAGCTCTGCAGATACGTGGACATCAATGGCGTGGGAACTCTCTGCTGAGGTGAAAGGTTCAACTTTTGAAAACTTTAACGAGCTTGTACAATGAAAGGCGTGTTCAAGAGGATACCCTGATCCAGGAATCTTAATATAGATGCCACTTGGTCCTTTGCAGGCAAGTACATGTACCTGCAAGTTCCTTTTATGGATAAAAAACAAACTTAAGTCACAATGGAGGAAAATAACTTTCGACTTGAAGGATACGGGATAGTACAGGCGCAATGCGACGAGCACCCCGAATGTATCTTGAGTGCTGAGTCCTGAGCAGTTTCAAGCTGGTTTAACAGAGACTTAGAGATGTTTCTCCCAATTATGAAGCCAGACTCCATCGTGCTTCAAATGAATGCCACTGTGCCACATATAATCTGCGCAACAGCTTTCGTGACGCTCCCTCCCCCATGCCCAGCGTTGCTTGATTTTCTCTTTTAGCGCAGCTACCCTGCCGGTTATGGTTCTTTTTGAAATGCTAACGTTACTTCTTTTTTAATTGTTTTAGGACGCTGGACTACAAACGATCTTACTCTTCATGGTTGAATCACCTAAGAAACGACTGGGACAAGAGAATCTCGTATAAAAAGCGGGAACATAATTAAAACAAAATTGGAAATTATTTACAATGATTATTGTACCTACCGGAGTTCTCCTTAAGCGAAAAATATGAATGGTATACCAGTAATTTATGTTCTCATACAATGATACGAATGCATCTAAACTGAATCTCAATTGTTTCAAAGATGTCATCAAAGAGAGCACTTGACGGTCACGAAAAAATATGTTTGAATGATTTCTTCTAATATAGTTATATAACTCAAAGCTTCGATTTCATTATCATAATTTCAAAGTTTCGCAACGATTGTAAGTTCGTTTATGACGGACATTCTAAACCGTTACTAATATATAAACGCGGCATGCTCAAAACGTCTGCAAACGTGGTGAAATGAACAATTGCGCGCCAAGTCGCCAACGACCGGTAGTGAGACAGAGGGGTGACTACTGTTTCAGCATCTAAACTGAATCTCAATTGTTTCAAAGATGTCATCAAAGAGAGCACTTGACGGTCACGAAAAAATATGTTTGAATGATTTCTTCTAATATAGTTATATAACTCAAAGCTTCGATTTCATTATCATAATTTCAAAGTTTCGCAACGATTGTAAGTTCGTTTATGACGGACATTCTAAACCGTTACTAATATATAAACGCGGCATGCTCAAAACGTCTGCAAACGTGGTGAAATGAACAATTGCGCGCCAAGTCGCCAACGACCGGTAGTGAGACAGAGGGGTGACTACTGTTTCACGGTAACATAAGATACTAAGATTCCGTTACGGGTTTTGCTGTCGGGCGGACGTGTGTTATTAGCTGGTCTGTTCTTGGGGTACTCGATGCTAATTGATCGTTTTCCCTGACTATTGAGCAGGCTTGGCATTCGGTAATTGCTTTTCTGTGGGCCTTGTTTGTAGTTCTTTCATGATCATCCAATTGTAAGTTTCTGTTCAAGTTTTTAGTTATTTTTTTTTTTAATTTTTTTTCACCATCTCTGAGCCCGTGCTGCCTTGGCAGTCACGGCAGGGCCACCTTTCTTCTCCAAATGGCGGCCGAAAGTAATAAAATTAATTATGTAACTAGCAGTGCAGGTGTCCCTGATTGATTGATTCAGAGTGTGTAGATCAAGATCATGAAGAGATTGATTTGAGTTTGACTGAAAAGACGGCCTTCACCTCAAAAGGCAGTGTGAGTAAGAAGCGGGAACGTAATCCCAGTGCACTACTAGGTATTCAGCAGTGATGAGGTCTGAGGACAATGAAGAAGATTTGAAGCCATTAGACTCCCCATCCCCAAAAGAGTTGCATCATGCAGAGATGCTAGGGAAAGTGTCATAGACCCTCGTAAGCTTAACTTCTTAAGCTAGAGAACCAGCAATCCAGCATGGATCATTTATTGGATTAGATGCTGGCAGAATAGACAGCTCAGGTCCTCTTGGACCAGTGGATGGAGTCATGGAGATCAAGGTGTACCAGACAGTGTCAGAAAGAAGCATGTCTGTGTTGTTGACAATGCAACTCTCCTGAGTCAGGGTAAGGGACTAACTATTCTTATAAAACCAATTGCTCTAACTCAAGCACATTTCTTACAAACCCTGTCATGTTAGCCCGTGGTTTGAGAGACTCCATTTGGTAAATTTTCTGAATTTAAAGTGCGTACTAGCACGAGAAGAAACCTAATGGCAGTTGAGTTCAGAACCACCTCAAATTCCAACCTTAGTTCTCTCCTTGAAGTATCTAAAATTAGGAATATGGCAAGTCAAGTGTTCTCAACCTGGTTTTGACTCTACTATAAGTGGAGTGATTGGACCAATTCACCCATCAGTAGAAGTTTCTGAGCTACTAGAGACAGCCAAGTCAGGTACTGTGAAGATTGCAGGGATGGTACGTCTTTCAAGCCACCATCAAGCGATCAAGGAGTTAGAGCAGAGTCATCCGCAGTGAAGGTGATTTTTGAGGGGCGGCAGTTGCCCAAGGAGGTTTACATTGATTACCTCAGGTACCCAGTGGCCAGTGAGACCATTTGTTTGGCAACGCTCAGGTGTTTCCGATGCCAGGGTGTTGGACACGTGGCAGATGGGTGCAATGGTCCAAGAAAATGTTGATTGTGCGCTGGAGTCTGGACCCCATGACAAGTCAGAGTGTCCTCATAGTACTGGCTCCAAGCGTACTTGTGCAAACTGTGGTGGGTCACACTCAGCTAGTGCCCAAGAATGCCCTGTGATAGTTGCTGCCAGGGCAGTTGAGAAGCTCTGGGTCACAGGCCTCTCCTATGCTGATGCAGCTAAGAAAGTGAGGCAAATGCAGAGGTTACTCAGGGTACCTTGACGTTGACAAGACCTGCAGTGGTCAAACAGACCCCACAAATATTGATGCCTCTGGATCAGTGTGGAATTCTAGAGGGATATTAAATTAACCAGTACACATAGCATATTGAAAAGCAGCACCTGAAAGCTTGGAAAGGCCAGGAACTTTCTACTTTCAGTCCATCATATTTCATATCATATACATAACCTATCATTTTCCAGCTGTGATTGGTTGATGGGATTGTGATTTTAACCCCTTCCAGCTTTCTAGCTGTGATTTGTTAATGGAATTGTAATGTTATCTGCTTTCTAGCTGTGATTGGTTGATAGTGAGTATTTGTTCTTTACTTGTTAGTCAAAACCTTTTATGTTTTCCAAGTTGTTTTCTGTCTATCGTAACATTGATAATAATAATGCTAATTGAATGAAGAAAACCCTATTGAACCCACTATTTGTATATATCAAATATAGAACTTCAATTTGACTCTTGTTTAAAAAGTTAGAAAAAACAACTTCATATAAACTGAACTTCTATGTATCAATTTGAATATCAATGTTTGATCTAATTGTTTCCTTCAAGTTTTGCAAGTATTTGTTCATTTTCCCAATAAGAATAAAATTTTAGATGCAGGTAACACCAAAATACAATAATTTGCGACTTAAGCCGCCAAGTGATTTTAATACAATAAGTCCGGTATTGAGAAATTGTGCTACGGCTTGAACAGTTACTAGTATATAGTATATATATATGAAGAAGATTTTAAACCTAAAATACTGACGTCATTGTAGAGCCATGCTTAGCGGTGCTGTATATACATTGCCAGGCTCAAAATACACACACAAACTTGCACAGTTATATATAAGCTGGTTAAATGAATTTTATGTTTAAATATTTGTATTATTGAATCGTTTTCCTGTAAAGCATTAATTAGTAAATATCATTTTTTACCACAAATATGGGCAAGTTAAATGATATTTTTGGTAAGCATGATTTATATACATGTATTGTTTTTAATTTTGTTACCTGTGCACCAGATTAGGATTTCCTGAATAAATTTCATACCCTCCTATGGCAATATTCTATTAATTGCTTGCCTATATTAGTGCAATATATTTACTCTGATCATGACGAGTGCATGACAACCAAAATGTTATTACTTGGTCCATACAAGTGCAGCATAATATATTTTTTGTGAGGTTCTACGATACTCTTGCAGCGTGCTGCATAATGTGAAGCAGCTGGTCGTCACACAAGACACCGTTGCCAAAGTTGTCCCTAAGAGAATCACTTGCATGGCGCTCCACCCCAGCAACTCTGATGATATTTTATTCGTTGGAGATAAAGAAGGATATCTGGGTGAGCACTGAAAAATGTTGGTTCCTATTTCTGTCGCTTCGTTGCTAGATTATCCAATTGAGCTTGCAATTGTTATGAGGCTGGTATATGATATGAGAATCACACATGAAGTATTGATAGCTCTATCAGGAAAATTACACCCTTTTTTCCATTAATTATATAATTCTGCATATGGTTTTTATTGATTTAGCGTTAAGCATTGTCATGTTTTAGTTTAGAATTTATTATCNATATTTGACACACTTTAACCTGTCCCTGTCTCTTATACACATCTAGATGTGTATAAGAGACATACTTTGTACAATGGTACAAAATATCTACAACTATAAAGATAACTCGAACAAGCTTCTTTGCATTTGATCTTGAACAGGGCTTGCTTCATATTGTCAAATGTTATGTAAACGTCAATACATCTGCTTGTGCTAATGGTAGACTTTCCTCTGTGTAGGAGCTGTCTCTTATACACATCTAGATGTGTATAAGAGACAGAGACCAGGCTGGGCAGTGCACAAGCACTGGAAGCCTTAAAATCAACTATAAAAAAATAAGGTACTAAGTTGCTGTTACTGTATATCTGAAAAGGCTCAATTTGACTGGCATTCTATGAAATTGTTGTCACGTTAAAATCCTGCATATCATGATAAATATAAATTTTTATATTGACTACATGTCACCATGATGATGACAGCATCTGCGACTGCACGATTCCATATTCGTCATGATTATGATATTCTTCAATCTTCATGAATAGGCTATGTCCATTATTCCGTGTCTTTGACCATCAAAGTAAAAGACAAAGATCAATATTGATCATTGAATAATTGAGGTAGTGTCTTCGGTCTTATTATACGACCTAGTATACTAAGTATAGTTCCTTTTGTAATGCTGGTTAGGTATGATCAAGAAGAGCCTTTTATTAAAATTGATTTTTATCAAATTTTTGCCTTTTTGAGTCCTGGACTATGATTCTATGAAGGCTATGAGTATGTAGTATACAATTAGAGAATCATAGAATACCAGCAATATCCATTTTCACTTTTCATACACATACAGAGATATGGAATAAAATTTTGAATTACTGTCAATGCCAATAAGGCTAAGCTAAGTTGCCACTCAGCACTCACCACTTAGTCACTTACCTTGTGCTTGTGAAGTTGTGGCTTGTGCTTGTTGCTTTTAATGATAACAATAAAAGCAGTTTCAGTGTTCATTAGGCTGTAGGCCTATTGCCAATCCTTAACATTGCAAAACATTCACAGCTTGTTAAATGTTATGGTCTCGAAGACACAAGTCACTGCTCAAATTCTGCTGTGCTTAACCCATTAACCACTTGACCAGCCAGCCTTCTCACCAACTCTGACCAGAAACTGGCACACAGAGCAGAGCTGGGATTGAACCTGTGCATGTAACATCTCTATGCTGCAGTTCTGAACTGATACTCTAAACTTTTAACACTGGACCACCCTTCTTAGTGCTTGTCAAGTTATCAATAAAAATCATGTAATACTGGTCTTGCCAGTGCCACACTTTGATTTTTAGGGTTGGATTTGCACACTATACGCAATGATAAATTAACAAATTTACAAATCTGTTTTGATTGCACTACTGCATTAGAAAGATTCGTTTCAGTTCTGTTATAATGTTTTTAAAATAGATTGTTTCTATTAGACTACCTATTGAACTTTGAATCCTGGCAAGTGGCAACTTCATTGCTGCTTGATAGTGCTTCCTGCTGGTAATCTTTTTGGCATATGGCATTGACAGTTCACAGTAGATTATGGATAAAAAACTGTATACAAATTTCTCTAATTAGACATTAGTCAGTAGTCACTAATCACTATGTGAGCATATATATATAAAAGATACAATTGTTACGCCTTATGTCAGTTATGTGTATTTTGCCCCTCACATAATATTGAAAAGAATGAATCCTAGTGGCTTCTATAGTAAAACTGAAGACACACTTGCTTCAACAAGAAACGTGAGTATTTAACACCTGATGATCCTGTACCTGTAGCAATATTTATGTGCAGCAACCACATCCAGATTAACCTTGATCTTAAAACACTAAGTTCAAGTAAGAAGTAAAGTGATAGTAGCAAAGCAGAGAGTTTATTTAGACTCTGTCTCAAATTCATTTTTGAGTTGCATAAGTAGGCCTCTATAGTATCATGGATACCATCATTATCATGCATAAGGTATTGTTTTAAATCTTGAGTAGATGAGGATATTGAAAATGAACCAATTCTAAAAAGTCTGTGATTTACCACCATCAAATGATAAATTAAAACTGCAGAGTGTCCAAGATCCAATCTGCTTCAATCTAGAGGATCATCAAGCAAAATTTTCTGAAAACTGCAGATAAAAAAACACTATTTACAGGGCAATTTTGCAATATCATATAAAATAATATGCCGTTTATCATATTTTTTATAAAAAATTAGCAGAAGTCTTAAATAAGTGAAATTGATTGCAAGCAAAGGCATTTGTTCTCATTCATTGGTGGTTTCTTACCAATTTCCAAAATGGTCAAAGATGGTCTGCTAGGTAGCCATTCTAGAAAATTAGATGCAATTAGACAGTTCCACAAGATGGAAACCAATGTTTAGTTTAAACTAACGATCAAGAAAATTCTGCCTAATATTCCAGATTCACAAGCAGGCAAAATGGAGTTTTATCTGCTGAGGAATCAACAAGGTTATTTTGAACAGTTAAACTCATACCAGGAGCAGGAGTTCTGTGGCTCTAAAAATGGCAGGCATGCCTGATATGCACTGTAAATGCACTGCAATGTGCACTGTAAAGAAGTTGCAACATACTGATCAGGCATGGAATATATCTACTTTACATAATGAAACTAAAGCTTTCATGCTATTTTATTTATTGATTAATTATTTTTTTTTTTGTCAAGAGATTCCCACTAGATGAAATCCTCTATCCAATTGTAAACAAATGTAGGTATATATATGATCTAGCCACAAAATTCTGATGTTATATAAATTATGTCATTTTGAGCATCCAGATTTTGGTAGCAAGTGCAAATTACATTGGACAATAAATTTTAGCTTCTCTGTGACAAAGAAGAATTTATATTTTTCTGGTTCATTTTTTTGTGCTAGATTCAAATGTGAAATTCTAATCGCTGTGTTAGTTCTCATTTTTATGCAATGTAGTAAAAAATTATATGTTAATGCATTAATAATTGTATATAGAAAAAAATTCAAAAGTTGAATCATTTTGGGCGTTTTGGTCCAGGGTATATATATGCTTGCTTGCTCATGGCTTTTGGACATTCTATTTCTACTGCCCAACAATTAATTGCCATCATTGAGGTTCTCAGTTTACCCTGGTACCACTTTTCCACTTCACCTACTGCTTTTTTTCCTGATGAAAGCATTCAGTGTGTTTTTTCTGAGTGTTACCTACAATTTACGAATACACTGTCACCTGCCCTGATTTTCCCCTGGCTATATTCAGGGAATTTGGTAATCAAATATTTAAATGTTGCACTATCTTGATAGATTGAGTTGGGAAAATTTTCCATCAGTCCAAGTTTATTTGTAAAGGTGGCAGGATAATTTTACTGCCCTCAACAAGTGCTTCAGGAATTTTATTCTCCCTCATTTGATGTTGGTAATGATCTGCCCTCACTTGACTATTCCACTGGCATAGAAAGCAACTGTATTTAGTTTCACCAAGCTGTACTTTGTACAAGGGTACAAAATATCTACAACTATAAAGATAACTCGAACAAGCTTCTTTGCATTTGATCTTGAACAGGGTTTGCTTCATATTGTCAAATGTTATGTAAACGTCAATACATCTGCTTGTGCTAAGGGAACTAATGGTAGACTTTCCTCTGTGTAGGAGTATAGATGAGACCATTTCCTCCATCCATTCTTCATTAACACACTAAATAGTTAGTATACTATGAACCATCCATCAAGCCAGCAACATTATCAATATTTAGCTAGTGCAGTGCCTGTGTTCTTTCCTTTATGATGTCATGATCTAAAGAGAGCAATTCAAAAATGACAATTGGTATCATGATCAGGCACTCCCCTCCAAGTCATGAGTACTGCAAATGGCTTGGCACATTCTTCAGTCTTGTAATCAGTCAGAAAGCCATGAATTTCAAGAAGTAAGAAGTACAACAAATTTTAGGAGCCTTTCTTTCATCTTGTCACTGGTGTGATCATACATTTACATAAAATCAATATTAATTTGCCACAGGAATAAAAAAAAATGAACCCAGACTATAAACACACTTCTTGAAATATAGAATTAAATTAATGGAATCAGTCAGAATACTTCATAATATAATCTTATTCAAACAGATGAAACAGTTAAATGGCATGAACAACATATGAAACTAGGAACCCATTTACAGAATAAGAAAATAGATGCACTGAACAACCATGAAATTAAACCAAAATGACCCGGCAATAACATGGGAACTAAAGCTAAACAAACTTCTCCTATATCATATTCATGTTTGGCACCCTTAAATTAGTATATTTCAGCTATTTATGTCTCTCTCACAATTTCTTTACCAATGTTATCCCATCTTGGTCTGACTGATAGTGATAACAATTGAAAGTGTTGATTGTTCAATTGTTTGTTATCAGACCTGCGACTAAATATGGATGCTATTTAAGCTCAAGATGGCTTGAGCTTAAATATTTTAAGCTTTTTAGAATATTTTAAATTGATATTTTGACCTAACAAGGGCTCTTCAACTGTAGGTCTGCATGGAAATTAGACAAATACCTTCTGTATCTCTTGTGCCTAAAATATCATTGAAGTTTGAAGGAACCAGACTATATTTATATTTCAATTGAGAAGGAAAGATGCTGCGGTTCTGTGTTAGTTGCATCAGAATATTTAATGACAATGTTATATTATAATCCCAGACAGGTGTTGGTGCAGCCCTGCCTATTGTTGCTATTGAACCTCCATGATTATTGGAACACTAGTCAGAAAATGGCTTAGATGGAAAGTTATGATATTACTACATTGCAGACATTTAGAACTCTTCATAACCAAAAATTACTGTTTGAAAATTTTATTATGCCTTAATAGCTTAATTGCTATTTAAGATGACTGCCATATTTACACACTTCAAACACACTATGCAATATATAGTTAACTGATGAATTTTTGGTTACAGATTCTTGTCAAAGTGCATCAGAGAAGAGCCAAGAAGCATTTGAAAGTTCTGACTGCAGCCATGCCATCGACCCTCAGAGCCCAGCGCAGTGCTCATCCTAAAACCTCACCAATCAGTCATGGCATCAAGAAGAAGAAGTTTCCAAGTGGCAAGAGTAATGAAAAAACAAGGAAAAACCAACTTGATGAAATTAAAGTGAAGCTTGAAATGGAAGAAGAGGAAGTAAGGCATTGCTGTAAATATTGGATGTTGAACAGTACCTCTAGCTGATATGTTCATTGCACTAAAAATTTGTTATTAACAAACTTGATTCCCAAATTGTGAATGATATCTGAACCTGCAATTTGTAATTGTAAAGGCCTAATGCCAAATCTTGCATTTCTTTAAATTTAAATGTTTAAATCCCCTGTTATGAGCTAAGAGTATGAAAAATCATAAGTTTTACATTGCCTTCTCTTTGAAAACAAATTAATTTTATTTTATATCTATCAATAGTTCCTTTATGTTTTTTTTCAGACAAAAATGGCTGCTAGAAGTTACTTGGACATGTCAAGTAGTACTACTTCTATTTCATCTTCAACAACAGACCTTTCGACTACTCCACCCACACCTTCAAACATGTCTGAATATGAGCTGAAGATTCAGCAAAACATTCAGAAGAGATTAGAGATATTGTCATCTCTAAAATTGGAGGAAGCTAAGGAAAATCTTTTTGAATTGTTGCCTTCCTCAAAGCTGTCTGCTACTGTCTCAGAGAGGGGATTATCTAGGATGAAGAGAAAAAGATCACCAAGGTGTGTGGTAGAGTGTGTACAAAAATGATATGATCATAATCACAAATTTATGAGCATTATTGTTCCTCAATCCTCGTATTTCCTCATAATAACAGGCCTGTTGTGTGCAGGAGCCCAGTAGTTCAACGGAGGAGCCAACGCCTACTGCAAAAGCCCCCAGATACTCCCCCGAAGGATTACATTATTCCTACAGCGTCTGATCTGCAAGACCACAGAGAGCGTCCTGCTGCAGGTGTTCAAAAAAAATTTTTAAAGCCTGTTCCATTAGTGGATCAGAGATTTATCTTGCAATTTGACATCATTTAATTCTTGCATCCTCTATTTTAATTTATTTCCTTATTTTTTATTATTTAATTATTAATTTTTTATTTAATAAGCCTCTATTTAATTTTAATTCTTGCATTGCTATCTGTAGCAATTTATTTAGCATGGCTGAATGTTTTTTTTTCAGCTGTGTCTAGTCTACTCTAGCCAAATGAAGGATAACTAATTACTTCTCTAGCTGACAGTTAATTTGAAGAAATTAGTTACAATTGCTGGCTTGGTCATGAATGAATACCAGGGGCAATGTTTTCAACAGTATATTCAATAGCCACATTTTTGCATTTTGGAAAGAAATTCGTGTATTCATTGCAAAGTCATGTATCCATTTCTTCAAGATCTATAAAAAAATGATTTATTTAGGACTATTACATACTGGTTTTATTATAGCAAGCTATAGAATTATTATGCAAATCCTGCAAAACTAGTACGTAATATACTGAAAGATGGACTAAATGTAAAGATATTAATATGGATTAATTAGAAATAATGACATAGCACAAATTAATCTCTCTTGTTGGTGAAATGTCACCTTGGATTACCTACAAAGATTAAGATGCCTTTCAGTGCCTTGTATTTTATAATGTATAAATTTCCAGGGGAGAAGATCATCCACTATCTCAATGAAAAACTAAACGAAAATGAGTGCTCTGAAATGCTTGCATATTGCCAGAGTGTGACAGAAGTTCCATCCTCGTCTCCAAACTGGATTGGTTCATTGCAAGAGTGAGTATTTGTTTTTTACTTGGTAGTCAAAACCTTTTACGTCTTCTGAGTTGTTTTCTGTCTATCATAACATTGATAATAATAATGCTAATTAAATAAAAACCCCATAAAACCCACAATTTATATATATAAAATATAGAACTCTAGTTTGACTCATGTCCTGTGTCAATTCACTTGACCTGATAGAGATTGAGGACGAGTCAGCATCTGATAGACACGTGATAGATCACGCGATCAAGACATTAGTAGTGGGTGGAAGTGAAGCTAATAAAAGGTCTAGTAACCTTAAGCAAACCCCCCCAGTAGCTGATAAGCACTCCGCGATGTAGCGTTTCGGTAGAGTTCACCGACCTTATGGTCGATGCCGTAGACAATCATGGCAATCTTTGATGAAAGACAATCATGGCAATCTTTGGTAAGACACAATCATGGCAATCTTTGGTGAGAGGCAATCATGACAATTTTCGGTGAGAGACAATCATGACAATCTTTGGTGAGATAAAAACATGGCAATCTTTGGTGAGAGAAAATCATGGCATCTTTGGTGGGAGACAATCATGGCAATCTTTGGTGAGAGGGAATTTCAAAACCAAAGATTGCCTCTCACCAAAGATTGCCTTTCATCAAAGATAATTATGCAAAATGATCTTACTAAAACTTTGCGCAAGCACGATTTTAGCACTTGTCACTGAAAGTTCTATCAAACGCTTATGGCTACATCGATCTGTCTGATTTTTCGTGGAGAGATGCAGAAAAACACAGGGAACAAATCCTGACCTTCCAAAAATTTTTAACTCTATTACTTTTTGAGTTACAACCATTCAAAATTGAGTAAACCAGGCTCAAAATACACACACAAACTTGTACGCATATATATATATATGTAAGCTGGTTAAAATGAATTTATGTTTAAAAATTTGTATTATGGAATAATTTTCCTGTAAAGCATTAATCAGTAATATCATTTTTTACCACATATATGGGTTAGTTAAATGATGCTGGTAAGCATGATTTGTATACATGTATTGTTTTTAATTTCGTGATGGCAATATTCTATGAATTGCTTGCCTATAGTAGTGCAATATATTTACTCTAATCATGATGAGTGCATAGAAACCAAAATGTTATTACTTGTTCCATACAAGTGCAGCCTAATATATCTGTGTGAGTTCCTACCATATTCTTGCAGAGTGCTGCATAATGTGAAGCAGCTGGTCGTCACACAAGACACCGTTGCCAAAGTTGTCCCTAAGAGAATCACTTGCATGGCGCTCCACCCCAGCAACTCTGATGATATTTTATTCGTTGGAGATAAAGAAGGATATCTGGGTGAGCACTGAAAAATGTTGGTTCCTATTTCTGTCGCTTCGTTGCTAGATTATCCAATTGAGCTTGCAATTGTTATGAGGCTGGTATATGATATGAGAATCACACATGAAGTATTGATAGCTCTATCAGGAAAATTACACCCTTTTTTCCATTAATTATATAATTCTGCATATGGTTTTTATTGATTTAGCGTTAAGCATTGTCATGTTTTAGTTTAGAACTTATTATCATCATATTTTTTTACAAATCTTCACTGATTATGTTACAATAATTCATAACGTAACGGCCTACCGAATGTGCTTCTCATTGTTCATGCAATTTATCAAACTATGATCAGGTATTTGGCTGGTGGACCGGAGCGACTCGACAGACGGCGCCTGGTCCTTCCGTATCCACGGTAGCGGCATCCCATGCATGTCCGTGGACTCCTTCAGCAGCGGTCGCGTCATCACCACGTCTTATGACGGCTCTACGCGCGCAACTGACCTCCAGCGACTCGTTGTTGACGATGTAAGCTCATGGTGTGGTTGTTTATCGTTTAGTTTATTGCAGTTTGAAGACCATATACCTTCACAAAATTACGGATCGCGATTAAATAAATCGTCAGCAATAATATTTTGTTATTTTGGGACTGAAAAGTAGAGTGGCTTGCTGTTGCTGTATTGGATGAATGCTTTTGTGTGGTCAAGTTTTGAATTCATGGTACTCGTGTGTGAACCATTCTTCTTTCATGTGAACCATTCTTCTTTCAAAATCCCCCAGAGACCTCGGGGTGTTTACCTGTTGTCAAAACAGTGCTAAACATTTAACGAGCAAGCCATGTCAAATACTATGGTGTTTACACTGCTATTAAAATGAATCCAGGTCCATAGCAATTGCGTGTGCAAAGTAGCAATTAATATGCACTTATATTAAGTGGTTCAGGCAATCAAAACTGATATGATTTTTTATCTAGTTCTATCCCAACAAAAAGTACGTTTCGTGGTATATTAAAGATTTAAATATAGAACGTTGCAATATATTTAGATATGGAGCGTATTATCTCTCAAATGACACCTTGATTACTGGTCCAGCAATAGTGTTGTTCTGTAGCGCTTTAACTTGTATTCTTGAACCTGGTAGGTGCCATTTTTGCTATCATTTTTGGTATCAAGTTCAGTAAGGCATCAAATAGGCACACTCTGACCATATCCTTGAATGACGGCAGAGGACAGAGGCTTGAAATGATGCGCGGCATCTTAGCTGCTTGATGTCAAAGCTCATGAAGTTTATCGTCTCTCTCAGAATCACAGAATGAGCAAATTTTATAAATGACTTGATGATTGGAGTCAGGATTTGCGATCGCTCAAGGTTCTAATTTGCACTACACTTTTTTGTCACCTAAATAACCATATTCTAAAAAGATGACCATATTGAGTGGTCTATTGAATAAAACTTTCCTGTTGTATGAATATTATATCGACAAAAATTTGAATATCATCAACGTTTCTATTAAAAGAAAGATGTATGTTATTCCTAATGTGTAGGAACGTCTTTACAAAATGTGGTGGGCCAATCATAATCACGCTTTGCAACATACATTGAATTGAATTAGCATGTCATACAGTTGACGGTTTGCCTAATTGTTGCACTAATTGTCAGATGTTGCCCTAATTTCATTAAAATAAAACTTGAAAAACACCTTTATTAAAGAATCCACTTTGAACACACCTTTTCTGACCTATTAAGAAAGTTTAATCACCGTAGATGTTACTGGAATGCTACTGTCCTACATTAAGTAAACTGTCATATCCAACACACAGGTGTACAGCCGGCCACAAGAGCGCAGGCAAGACTACTTGACGTGGCATAGCCAAGTGGACGCCAACCTCCTCTTAGTGAGCGCCGGCACTGGGGACGTAACATTCGTGAGTCTTGCTGCTGCTGTTTGTTCTCAAACTTGTATAACTGATAAGGAAGGCCGCTTTTGTTACAAAGGAACGGTAAATTGCCCGATCCCTGAGTAATGTATCTATACTTCCACTACTGTTGGGATTCTTCAACGGTAAATCAAGATTGATATCAAGTATTCTGGTATGAACAGTGATTACATGCAAAAACTTGATTGTCATCAAAGCACCGTTTCCTCAGGAAAAATTATTAATTACTATATTGAAAACAAATTAGATTTTGCTTAGGTTTTGGAAACCATTACATCGTCCTTGTTGTGACGATTGTTTATTTTTTTATATATATATCAATATTTTGAGTAGCAGTCTTTAATTTATTTTGAGGTATTGTTATTCATGATTTAGTATAAATGTACTATGACAAATTGGAATATAAACTTGTTGCCTTCAGTATGTATAAGGTTCCATTGAATTGCATGTTTTTGGTACAGAGACATCAAGTGTTGCAATACATTGTACATAGCTAGCGGCTTAGCTAATTCTTATAAGGATATAAGTAGTCTTTAACTATTTGACTATTTGTTATATATTAATTACATTATACAATTTACACGTGTTAGCTAGCTTATATAAGAAGGGTTGGTTGAGATTCTATTGACCTCTTAGGCATTTAGAAAGATTTTCCACTCTAATATGAGTATTTTAAAGAAAATATTTAAGTTCAATCTTTAAATATGTGAATTTATAAGTAGAAACAAAACAATTACAATTATAAAACTATATATAAAATAATTAAATGCAGTGATTGAAAATAACATGTTTATATTGTGTACATGTTTATTTCAAACAGCGTTAGCTTTTCTCATAACATCAGTCTCATTTCAAGTCGTTTGAGGTTTGGTTGTCGTTCAGTTTATGTTTAGTATTGGTTTAATGGTCTGAATCAAATGGCAACAGTGTAGTCAGTCACTCAGTCACTACTAGTCAGTGTGTTTAGAGGGTAGAGTCTGGTAGATTTATAGCACATAAAACTAGTAGATCTATTGATAGTGCTGTGCACTGTGCTATCAGCTACCTATCTGTTATGTGACTCTTCAATGTTTTAGAAGATCCGCATTCCTGAAGTGTTTTTGTATATTGAAGCCAGTTAAGTGGCCAATATTTAGCTCGTTATCTTGCTCCATACAAACTTTACAGCGCTAATGAATAGACTGCAACATCAAAAACAAAATTTAAAAAAGCCAAAAAAAAAACTGAAAGAAAATAAAAAATTCTTGAAAAAATTTTTTAAAAATTCTTTTTTTTTTTTCCTATGAAAATCACCAACCCTGGTCCAGGGTAATTAGGTTCAGGGTTTAATTAATAATGGTCCAGGGTAATTTAGACACACTTATCTTAATTAAGAACAGAGAAAAATTTGTCGTTCATGTCCGGTTCTGCTCAGCAATAATTGGCTATTGCGGAAACAATTCATTGTCATCATTTTCCTTGGGAGGCCCTCTGAAGACCAGCATTGTGTTTGTTGTGCAGGTGGACATGCGGGAAGCTCCGTCATCAGCCAAGTCCAATAAGCTGGACCCCATGAGCAAAAGCATCAAGGTTGTCGCCGCCCACCCTACGGCCACGCAGTATTCCGTTACTTCAAATAATATGGGGTGACTAGCCCATCAATGACATGAGTGCTGTCATATATGATGACTAAGGGTGACTTGACCTAGAGTGATTTCCATCCTTTAACGGTGCTGCTGCTTCGTACCCTTATGGGTGATATGTTCCGAATAGTCATTTTATTAAATGAACATGTACAAATACATCAAAACACAGGTTGAATAGTAAATGCAGCTTTATCTTATACTATTGATTGACATTTATGCCGCATAATAGTATCCTTAGACAGTTATGTCTTTAATGTTGACGATTTATACATTTGATAACAATGGGGATTTGCTGTTAAATTCATTTCACAGTTTGAAAGTTCTTTGCCATGCTGTACATGGTAATAAACATTATAAGGTGAATTTTTCAGAGAAGTCAAGTTGTGGGACCACCGCAAGTTGAACCACAAATCAGCCGTGTGCTGCTTTAAACATCCGAGATCAGCTTCATCGATTCGCTTCTCACCAAATACAGGTCTGTGCTGTTTATTATTTATTCTTCATCTATTATCATTATTTTGGGTCTATAAACCTGTTCGACTTGTTACTAGCGTATCGCGTGAAGGATTCTCTTTTTAGTTTGTATGCTATGTAATCGTTTTATATCTATTTTGTCATAATTTGATCGTCTTATGCTTGTCATTCTAGTAAAGGCATTCATTATTTGCTATATTGCTAAATTCCCTGCGGAATTTTCTCATGGTTTAGGATTATCACTTGAACCTAATACCAGATCATGTATGTACTGAACACGCGCGTTCTCTCATCTTTTACTTATTATTCAGTGTAAAATACACTCACGAGATTGTTTGATGGCAGCAAGACACCACGGCGCTTTGTTGTAAGCCATATCGTTGCAGAGAGTTGCAGAGATTATTGAGGTCTTGTTTATTTGCTGCCTTCCGCTAGTCCATCGCTGCACGCACCGGCCGTGCTACATATCACTTACCTTGACCTGAAAGTTGATGCAGCAAATTTAACACTCGGAAACTATCAAGTAATTGTGCTACGCTGGATAATTGAAATGATTCTATCTTATTCATGCAGGAAATACGTTATTAACCACGTGCCATGATGACAAAATCCGGTTAATTCAGTTGGAAAACTTTTCTGCTTTTAAAGGTAAGTGAATTATTCTTGGTAATTATACAGTAATGTTATGAATGAATAGTATATGAAATATTATGTTGTCCTAGAAAATTATGGCAACTGTCGATTTTTTGTCACTTGCAATTTTATATTTTGTTCAATTTTACAACACTTCTCTTTAACTTTGCTTCTTGTTGTTTGTTTGTCTGCTACAAATGTTATAATCAAAATTTAACACACTTCTACTTATCCTGTCGATCTGAAATTTCGCTCACTTGCGTAAAGTTGGAGACAATGCATGAATCAATCAACAAAATGAATAATTTTAACAAGTAAAAAATTTTTTTTTAATATTAAAAAACTAAAAAATACTTTTGTCAGCTACAAATCTTATAATTGATATTTGACACACTTTAACCTGTCCAATTGATCTGAAATTTTGCATACTTGTGTGGAGTCAGAGGCAATGCATGAATAAATTGACAGAATAAATAATTTTAAAAATTATGTATTACAAAATTGAAAAACTAATTTTTTAATATTCGAAAATAAAATTAGAAATTTATTGTACAATGTAACAATGGAGACACTGGATTCTTTAGAAGTCTTGTCTTTGAAAAGTAATTTTTAAACGTATATTATTTATACTCTAATCAAATTAAAAAATTCACGTTTGAACCTTTTTTTATGTTCGACTGCAGATGAACAATCAGCATGCAATCTATGGATATTGATTCTTTTTCTAATGTTTGTTTTTGGTAATTTCAAATGAGCTTACTATAAAAAAATTTTAAAATATTTAGCTATTTTCTGCTTTACGCCTATCGGCTAACATTTCAAGTTAAACAAATTATCTCATGAAATGTTGAATACACAAGCCGTATGACTTGCATTTTAGATGAACTTTTGAATGCCTAAAATACCTCATATTCATACGAGACGAAATTTATAAACCTGCAAACGTATGGCAAATTTAACTTAATAATATCGATAATAAAGAGTTCTACATACGGAATAGGAACCGTCAGAGAAGCAAGCCTCTATTGTCGACGGTGCCGATCAGAAAAGAACATATTTATTTAAAAAAAAAAATTATTCTGCTAGCAGAGGTGGGCAGTAGCGCGCTACATGTAGCGGCCGCTACATTTCAGTAGCGGTAGTGGCGCTACATTTAAGCAATTGTAGCGGTAGCGGTAGCGCCCGCCACATTTAAGTAGCGATACGAGGTTTTTCCGCTACAGCGCTACCGCTACATTTATAGATAAAGCCTTTAGATTTTACTTAATAGTATTAAATATTATTTAAAAACCAGCATGATACATAATATAATATAAATAACTGAATAAAACTGTACGAAAGATTTCGGTGTAATGTTGTCAACCTCAGCCTGTTACTAGTGTCAACATGTTACTTGTTACCAGAGGTGGGCAGTAGTGCGCTACATGTAGCGGTAGCGGCGCTACAATCTAGTGGGTGTAGCGGTAGCGCCCGCTACATTTAAAGCATGTAGCGGTAGCGGCCGCTACATTTCAAAGTAGCGCTGTCCAGCTCTGTCTGTTAGCTTCCAGCCAATATATAAATGCTGAGTGGTAAATTTCCTACATTGCCGTAAATCACTTGGTGGTGGATTTTCATCATTGCTAAATTGAGAACACTGGAAATGTCTTTTTATATTACCCAAAGCGTTTGCATTCCTGCGTTTCATGAGTGGCAGGGCACTTACACCTCGGACTGGAAATGCTGTGACGCTAAAAGCAGTTACTCGAGCTCGTTATCATTACCCTTACTGATGAAGTTTATTGTCCGCCATAAATTCTAGCTGTATGGTCAACCAATTGTTCACAATCCAATTTTATTTTTAGAAGAAATAATATCCCCTGACAATAATATCCTGCAGCGGAAGCTCGGTTGTGGTACTAGTGCTAGATATCGCGAGGTCTGATAACTTGTTTGAATTTTTTATGTAGTATTGTGTATAATTTACTTTAGTTATAGTGGCTTGCTGTGACGAATCTTAACTGCAGAGATGTGCATATTACATCCAATATCAACTGTAGAGATGTGCTTATTACATTTAATCTTAATTGCATTACATTAGTGAAAGAAAGTTTGCCTCTATTAATTAAATAGACGGGACTTCTTTGCTATCCGCAGAGGAGTGGTCAGTGGAGCACAACAATCAAACTGGTCGCTGGCTGACGACGCACAAGGCCGATTTCATGCCTGGGCGGGAAGACAGCTTCGTCGTGGGCTCGCTCAATCCCGAGAGAATAGTAAGCTAAGACTGTTTCAGCACAAATTCGCCTATCATGCTTTGTAGTATAGTTCGGTTGGTGGGAACATTTATAGTGGTTATTCCATTCTTTAGAGCGAAAACTACAAGCTTGATAATGATCAAATGTATGCTATTCAATGGTGAATATTTTTTGTTATACATTCATGTAGACATGAATCATGAATAAAACATTGCATAGTTTTTCGTTAATCCTACTTATACTAAAATATCATGAGTATAATTTCAAGGAGTTGTTTATTTGAGCAGATAGAAGTGTGGAGAACTGGAGGCAGCTCTCCAGTAGTGGCTCTGAAGGGCGACGCGATGACGACCTTCTCGAGCACCGTGTGCTGCCACCCCTCGCGGTTTGTTGTTGCAGGTGGCAACAGCTCGGGAAAGTGTCATGTGTTTCGATGATTGAGATTAAATTGCTCTAACTTCTTTTTATACAGTCGATGTTGAATGATGGACGTATTCATCTATAAACACTATTTTTGAATGGAAAAGTTATCTTTTCCTTGATTTATGGATATGCCATGACGCCTTACTTCAGCCACCAGAGTTCAGTTAACCTAAGATATTGATCGCTCCACAAAATAATCGCGCTCGATCATAGAACAAGATTTTTTATTGGATGTCTCGATTAAAACAAATTTTGCTACGGTGACTCGAAGCTCTATCTCCTGCAGAGTATTTGTAGAACAATATTTTTCATTGACCTACGTGTCTTTTATGTTAACGCAACGTACTACTAAGCTATGGTTTCATAAATGAAAATGTACAGTAAACCGTCTCAATGAGGACTCTTAGACAGATGATGCCATCCTGTCCATGTTTGAACAGTTTTTGTTATACAACTTACTTGTAGAAATTTGTGAGTTTGCAATTGTGAATGAATACTTCGAGGAAAAAATTATTATTCTTAGTGTTGAGCTCGGAACAAATGAATTTTTTTGCAATCGTTGTGCTTATAAGTATCATCGGATATTCTTATTTTAGAAAATCGTCCATTACAACACTTCCTGAATTTATCAAATGTGTGTATGTATTGTTATGTAGGATTGAAAATGAGATAGGCTCAATTTACCGTTTTGACAACCTACAATACTTTCCCTGCGCCACAATATGCTGTTTCCTCTCACCTAGTTGAGACAGATTAATCTGAATTCCGTATTTATTCATACATTCGATGAGACAATTTGGTTTTCTGAAAGTTACAAATCCGTTTGTCTAGTTTTTAATTGATTGAAATTAATTTCATTCTCCACAATAAGACTCTTATTATGAAGCTCTGCGTTTCGTGATCGCTTAGTACCCCAGCTGCTGATTTGAAATAGTTCTTTTATGTTATACGGTACAAACTTTAACACAAAAGTGAATAAAATCATGAAAAAAGACTCGATGTATTTTAATTGAAACCCAGGTTGTGCCTCGAAGAAAATTTGTAACGGTGGTGTCCAGAAAATTGAAAACGATCCTCTACAGTCTACAGGAAGTTTTTTATCCATCTTACTGCTGTAAATAACGGGTTCTTGAAAATTAGCTTGCTGCGCTGAAAATGAGTAGTTTGCAATTGAAAATATACCTTCAGCGCTTGTAAGTGATTCCGGCACGTGGCTATTCTTAGGAATGTGTGCTAAGTACTTTGAAGCATCCGGGGCCGAGTGTTACTGCGGATGCTTGACACTAGCGTCATGGTTAGCGCCACTGAGTGCGCAGTGATGGCGGCACCGAGATGTGAGGTGCTAGTCGGGGGTTCGAGCCTCGGGAAGCTCCGTTGATTTCTCAGTATCGCTGGTGGACGGCGCTCTGTCGACATCAAAAAGGTGGGGCTTCCATCATGGCCTTTGGTATGTGTCCCTAAACGAACCCTGGGTATGTGTTGCCTGAGAGATCTTATAAGGTCCCGTGTTGAATTGGCTGCACATCTTATTTGACATCGTAAAACTCCGTGTCTCGCTCGAGTCGGTTCGCCACATGCGTTCCCAAGGGCATTGTTCCACTAGGTTGGTAGTAAATGACTGCTCGTCACAGTTGTTCAGTTCGGTTGTTATACAAGTAGGAGAACTTGTACTACTCAGTAGCTCGTGTGGGTGGCTGACGAACGATTGATATAGGGTACACCTAGTAAAAGTGTAATTATATGGGTGTTCCCTTCATCTCTAATGCTTCTGTTTTCTTGCCAGATTCAGCGTGCAGGCATAATGAGAACCATGGTTGAATTAATTCAACCATGGGTATCACTATCATTTCCATTTTTATTTCTACAGAGTTGCTAGGTCAAATCGTGGTTTTAATTGGTCAATAGTTGATGAATTTGTTGCTGCAGTATTCAAATCAAATATGTTCTATTCAAGTGAGGCACGTAGAAAAGAAGTGAATATTTTATTTTTTTTTAGAGATCATCGCACAACGCTCTCGGTAGGAATGCAACGTGCTGGTGTTAAGTGGCTGCTCGTGTACCTAGAACTCACGTCATCGGTTACGGTTCAATCATTGTTGATCCTCTTCTTCGGAGTTTGACAATTGGACGGTTATAAATAGCTGCGGTGGATAGATTAGCAGCATACCATTGTGGTGAAACTTTTATAGCGATAGCTACCCGTGGTACTCTCTCACCTTCTTCAAACTATGACGTCATCTGAGTAAACGATTTTATGAGTTCGTATCCACTTGAAACCGTTAATCAATAGGTTTTGTATTCCTTAGGCAATTTGTAGGTCCTATTTTGGTCAAAATCGTATTAATGAAGTTTTTGTACTGATGATGGAGCTGGACTCCGATAAGTTTTCACTGCGGACAAAATGAATTTTTTGGCGTTTTCTTTGATTTAATGCTTAGTTCATATGACAAGTTGAAACGAATCCGTCATTTCCTAATCTGAAGTAGAATTGACTTTGCATATAACTTTAAAAACAACCCACACTTTATCTAACTATGACAATTTGGAATTTTGCAATTTATGCAGAATTTGTCACAAATTTTCATAAAACATCGAACGACCGGAACGAGTATAAATGCATTGACATAACCTTCAATACTGCATTTCTTCTAACAATAATTAATGCTCTATTAGTCCGACTGCGGAAAGTCTAATTCTCAGCTCGGATTTTTTTTTTTTTTTTTTTTTGAAGGTCGCAGACTTATTTTCGGAAAGATAAAACATAGGATAAATTTTCATCTAAATGCATTACCTAAATATTGATCAAAAAGAGGGCTAAATAGTTTCCACGTTGATTAAAATGATTGGATGCGCTATACTGATTTTTAAAATGTGTTTTAAATTTATGTAAAGAATAGAGCACTTTTTGATCTCATGCCCTCATATTGATGGTGACTCCGAATCTTAATTCAGCACCAAAGGCCATATGGGCAACTCAGACGTCGTCCTCCGAATGTAGATTGGATCTCTATAAACAAAATTAGCGGAGCCTCACACACACGACATACATACGAAATTCATCATATGCAAACGATCAGTCACATGCAGGCTATATCAGGCTATATACAGGTCGTAACAAGAAAACGACCACTTATTCGCCACATGAACACGATTAGTTATTCGCCATACACATACGATCAATTATTCGCCACGGGCGAGTGATCACTTATTCGCCACGTGCGCATGATTAGCTATTCGCCATAAATATATACGATCGACTATTCGCCCAATGCAAACGATCAATTATTCGCCGCATTCGATCAATTATTCGCCAATCAATCAACTATTCGCCACATACAAACGTACACGTATAACTCTCACACGTGCGATCGATGACCAGAGAATTCGTTGATTTATAGTATAACTCTCATTGGATGTGCTATACTAATTTTTAAAATATTTTCTAAATGCATATAAAGAAAAGAGCACTTTCTGCCCTCATTTTGATGGTGCCAAAGGATGGGCAACTCAGACGTCGTCTACTGCATTTAGATTGGGTCTCTATAAACAAAATTAGCGGAGCTTACACGACATACATATGACATTTACCAGATGCAAACGATCCGTCACATGCAGGCTATATCAATCATACAGGTCATTTTTTCGTCACAATAAAGGATCACTTATTCGCCACGTGCGACCGATCACTTGTTCGCCACATGCAACCGATCACTTATTCGCCACATGCACAGGAATAATCGTCATACACATACCCAGGAATTCGTCATACACATATGATTAATTATTCGCCATGGGGAAGCGATCACTTATTCGCCACATGTGAGTAATCACATATTCGCCACATGCACACGATTAATTATTCGCCATACACATACGATCAATTATTCGCCACGTGCGAGTGATCACTTATTCGCCACGTGCACATGATTAGTTATTCGCCATATATATACGATCGACTATTCGCCTCCTGCAAACGAAATTCGCTGCAATCGATCAATTATTCGTCAACTATTCGCCAATCAATCAACTATTCGCCACTTACAAACGTACACGTATAACGATCATTTATCCGTCACTCAAGAGTGACCGCAAAAATGCACCGGTAAAGACTGGTAACCCAGTCTGCTTTTCATACAAGTTTAATAAACTTTTCAATAGTTGCTGCTAATTTTTGTCCAATAGATTCAATATTAAATTGATCGAGTGCATTTGATTCATTTGAATCGGCACGATGAATGTGAAATTGTTTATCAAATTGGAAACGAGTCGCTCGAAGTGAAACGGATTGAACTAAATTTTTAAAATCATCGTAATTATTAGAAACGAAATTATACGGAGGTAATAAGAGGTGGAACGTGTAATAAAGACTTCCAGTATTATATAGAGAAATGAGGTTTGGTTATGTAGGTGGCATATTCTAGATATCACAGAAATTCTCCAGCTAGCAACTGATTTCGAACCCACTACCCACTGCTCCATCCTCACCCACTGAGTCTCTATACCCAGAGAGTATTTAGAAGTGTATTATTATTTATTCCATGGTTGAACTAGTATATAGTTCAACCATGTATTATTCGGTGATAATAAGATCAAACATACTTATTTCGGGATGTTGAGTCAAGCAATTTTTTAATTTCTGTTGTAACAATGATAGTGCTAGTGTTAATTATACCAATTGAAGCATTTTACAGATTGTAAATGTAGAACAATTTTTTAGTTACCGTAGAGGTCGCTCGTGTAGTGATCGTTATGCTAGAGAAGTAAACTAGATTTATTTTCGTCGCAAAAGTCCTCATGTTGTCTTAAGACTATCATGATATTGTGTTCTGACAGAGATACAGGCTGGTGGGCGCATTTGTCGCCACAAGTCTTAACCCCAACTATAAAAAAATATATATATCATGATATTTTTATTTGCCAATAAATTCATTTTTTTCCTCAGAATTCAGTTGACAAAAAAATTAAGTGTATGATTGGTTTACTCGTAATTAGGGCCTACATGACTAATCTCTAAATTCTTCCTAAAATTGCTAGGGAAATTTTGAAGTTCATTCAATGCAAAAAAATCGGTTTTCCGATGCCGACCGCCAAAAATGGATTTCAGATTCGTAATCTACACCCCAAAAAACATATAATTAAAAAAAAACACCCTTTTTTTGGATGTAGTTAATCTGCAATAATACCCTATAAACAGTGGACGAAGAATTCATTCATCAATCTTTTTCTTAGAGAGTGATGTACATTGCAGTTTGCACAACTGAATAATTGACAGAGCCTCAGAGGACCCGGGACCGTGTTCCGTAATTGTGCAACGTGGATGTCTATAGGTGGCAGCTTGTGTACCTAACTCTGTTCGACACTCGCAAATCGCACCGACAGACCTACTTTATATTTCATAAAAACATTTTCTTGTCAGTTGTCACTTGTATTTAATTAGACGTTGTCGTACTAATTGTATTTCATACGAAATTTTCCTGTGACTAGCTATGTTAAATATTGTCTTGTCTCTTTAAAAATAGGATTACCTAACCTCATTTATGCCGGCATTGGCAAGTAAAATTTCAGGTTTAGGCTAGTCGAATGTCAGTTGGATTTCAGATTTAGAAAATTCTGTACGTAGAATTATGACAAATGATAAATTTATTATATATTTTAAAATACCTAGGCTAACATGAAACTGGACATTGCATTTATACCTTAGCATAGTGGCAAACCAGTGATTTTTTAGAATCAGTTCATTTTTAATTTCCTCATTTACTCAAGATTTTAACAGATTTCTTATGTATGATAATTCTGGTATCCAAGATACTTTACAGGTCTACTACTCTACTTATAGGACTCAAAAATGAACTTGAAGAAGAGTCTAAAAAACTCTCTGCTTAGCCACTATGCCTTAGCTTATGCTGATTATTATGCAGCTGATATATCTACCAACCTACCGTCAACTGGGGCTAGCTACTCGGAATGGGTGGGGTAACTTGGGACAGTCCTCTGACACGGCGTAAAACTGTTTTAGTAGCAAAACTAATTAAAATATTGCAAAACTAAATATAGTGGCATAAACATCAACATTTTTCCTATCTATGTAGTAATACCGTAAAATGGGGTAACTTAGACCGGCGGGGTAACTTAGACCACTTTTTGTTTTTTTTACAAAAACCCCCACAACTCAAAAACTATTTGACATAGAAAAATCTTGTCAATGGGCATTAAAGGCCTAATACTCCACACTCAGGAAGATGTATATAAACGGGGAAATTTCCCATGCATAAATAGTTTTTTGAAGCACTAGGTCAGCGCAGTTTGCGCAAAGCAATATAATTATATTTTCTTTGCGCAGGCGTTTGCGCAAATCACGGTCTTCGATTCCATGCCGCGCAGCACTCGGCGCGGGCCGCGGAGCCGTCCGACACAGTTCTGATTTAGACACAGTTTTCATCTGAATGGAATGGCAACATCATCTGTAGATTTCAAGTAACGCTGAAGCCAGCGTTGCCAGATGGTATATTTCTATACCAGATTTCACAAATCTGGTATTTTCAGAAGGTGTCTGGTATCATGGTATGAATATTTTAGATCTGGTATAGATGCCTAAATCTGGTATTTTCTGACTTACTGCAAATTTACTGCATTAAGTTCCACCTCTGAAGTTTGAACTTCCTCCAGCGTAGGCATGGATTATATTATTATTTATATAGATTGCCGTCAGAGCGGCATGATTAGAGCTTTGCCGCCATTTTTGGAACCGCAAGTTTTCATGTCAACCGGAACTCGAACACCACAGCAGAGAGTATTTTATGCAGCTAATGAATTTTGCAAACTGCTGGAAGAGAGATTATTGAATTTTAGAAAAAAAGCAGGATAATTCAATGAAGGCTGGTGGCAGAACTGCAATCTTGATACTCTATTGCAATTCGTGCTAAGATAACCTACATAACAATTTTCATGGTAGTTATAATTTTTGCACATTCAAAGTACACATGACATAACATAATGCACCCAGATTTGGAAACCATAGTTGCTCAGATGAAGCAAAAATAAATGACAGACCATTGACTTATCTTGCAAATATATATATATTCATATTTTGTATCACATACCATAGTATAATTACGCTTTGTAATTATGCCATATTGACCTAATTTGTACAGTCCATTTACGCGCATTGTTATTAGGTATTGATCGTGTTGATTTTGCCAGCCAGGAGGATGTCAGGAATGTAGTCCCAACATTGGCATGCAGGTTTGTACTGTTGACATACAGGTTCACACCCTAGTAACCCTACTTGCCGCAACCAGTCCAGACTGTCCAGTCATTCATTAGAAGGCACCGATGGCACATCTAAAGCCATGTTGCCTTTTTTAGTTCTGTAATTCATGTCTCATGATGTCTGATTGAATTGTGATCTATGAATGAATATTCATTACTGTGCTGACTCTTAGAACCTGAGTCCTGAGTTGACGCATTAGCAATCTAGTTAACTCATATCCAACCACAGCACAATGTGAATACACGTTTGTGTCAATTGTGTGTACGGTCAGTGTGATTACGTAATTTGCATTGCCAACACCCCATACCCAGGATGGTGCTGTTTTCCGCGGATTAATCCGGCGTAAACGAGGCTCCAAGCCCTTCTACTGGCGTACAACGCGGCGTACAATGAGCTAAAATAACGTTATTAGCGCACACGCCCGGCGTACGTCCGCATCTGGCTTGTCTCGACGTGTGTCTGCATCTGGGTGATCTGGCTTGTCCCGACGGACCGTACGTCCGCATCTGGCTTGTCTTGGCGTACGTCCGCATCTGGGTGATCTGGCTTGTCCCGACGTACGTCCTCATCTGGTTTTGAGCATTTTAGTGCATACTAATGCGTGTTAAGGCGATTTAGGGCCTTTAATGCGATCTAGTGCGTTCTATTACGATCTAGTGCGTTCTATTACGATCTAGTGCCTTCTAATGCGATCTAGTGCGTTCTATTACGAACTTTATTATATTATTAACAACATGAGGCGCCCCCCATTTGCAAACTATGACACTTTCCTCAAGTTTGTCATTTGCATATGTAACTAGAAGAGTTCTACTACAACGCACCAAAACCTGGAGTTAATTGGAGTTATTTTACCAGAAAAAATAATTGATTTTACCACCCGGTCTAAGTTACCCCAAGAGCTGGGGTAACAAAGACCATCACTTTTTTTGAAATTACATAAAGACTATGAGAGGCAGGAGCCAGTAATTTATGGTAAGTGAAGCTAGAGTATAGACCTGTATTTTGCATGTTTCAATTCAAGTTTAATTTAGCTAGTAAAAAAATGGCATCATTTATAAAAAAAAAGTGGTCTAAGTTACCCCATTTTACGGTACATGTTATAAATAATAAAAATTCAACTTTTTTATGTTTCATTGTTCATTGTTGCTGCTAATTGATATTTTATCCTTGCACAAATATTTGTAGTAAATTTTTGTGTCTGTAACCTAACCTATAACCTATAAATGCCAAACCTTTCTGACTTTCAACAAGGCCTAATTGTTGGTGCTTGTATGGCAAGTGCTAGTGTGTGGGAAGATTCACAAATTCTTGACGTTTCTAGAGGTTTTGTGTCAAAACTAACGACTGCTTTTGAAAGAGAAGGATAAATGTCCTCAGCAAAGCACAAGTCTGGCTAAAAGTCAAAGTTGTCAAAGAGAGACTGTCAGTAGGTACCCAAATCAAATTGTGACAGACAATCCAAAAACCACAGCTGTTGAAATTACTGCAGACCTCAATAGACAACCACAGAACCCGGTTTCCTTGAAGACTGTCCATCAAGAGCTGCACAGATCTGGAAACTGTGAAAGGGCTGCAATTAGTAAACCTCTGGTTTCAAATAAAAATACTTCAGAGCATTAAGAGTGGTGTAAGAACATTAATAATTAAATTATTAATTGAAAATCTCCTAGTAGTTGATAACTTACCTCATTTGAAGGCTGCATATGGTTGTAGTAATTAATAGACCTGCCTAGGAGAGAATTTTATGCAAGTCTTCAAGCTGTGTACAATCTTGAGAAAACTAAGTTGCAGTAAAGCTGCGTGCATACGCTATGGAACAGCGTTTAGTCAACTAATTAGAAATTTTCTCAAAGCAAAAAATCAGTTTCTCATCTTTATATGCAAGATCAAAGCATTAAATTCAAGTTTTTCAGAAATGTGTCCACTAATTCATACTATTGAAGTTCATGCTTCTGCTTTGAAGTTACACTTTTCCAAATTTAACCGTTTGCTACCCGTTTCTCTTAGCCTTGTTTACTGTTTAGTAAGATTTCTTTTAGTAAGTAAGTTTGTCATTTATATATTTCTTGAGATATTTAGGGGAAATTTTGTTATTTCTTAACAGAATGGTTGAAGGAAATGTTTTTTTATTATTATTAATTAATTATTAATATGTCTGCAAGTCATAATCCAATAACTGTACTGTTGCAAAAAGCTAAATGTTAGATTATGGGTAGAAACACAATTCAAATTATACGTAATTGATCATACAAATGTCAATGCTATAATTTGACCAACTATACTGCATTGAAATGAGTTTCTTAGTTTTCCTAACATTACTTAAGGCCAGTGGGAAAGGAGAATGAGTGCCATGATTATGCAAGCTTTAATTTAAATAAAGTCTTAACTCAACCATTCATTCTGATTTTTGTTTGATAAATTATTTTTGTTGAGAAAATATTCAAAGTTTTCCAAAGCAAATAGCTTCAATTTTGATGAGATAGTTTCAACTGTACATTTCAGTATATACAACAAATGAGTCAATTCAACTTATCTTATTACCAAGTAAATGGAAATCGTGTGGACTCGTATTTATTAAATATAAGTTAATTTGGCTAATGTCATAAAAAATATTATTTTGATTCTTGATGATTTTTCCATTTCACTCAATCTCATGCTGACTAAAATGAATGTTTCACTTCAGGAAAATGTTTTTCTTGGCTTTAAAGAATGGCTATGTTCATTATTTGCAGCCAAATTCAATATTTTCTGGACTGAGTAGCCTGATTATCGTCATTAACATTAGAAAATTTTAAACATTAGAATTATTCCATAACAGGAAATTGTGCTCAACCTACTTCTATTTATACCATGTTTTTGATCTTGACAGAACATTTAAGGGGGCTGTGTAACACTCAAAAGTAATTCATGGGCATCACTGTGAATTTCGGCTGGTGACGTTAGACTTAGAAATAATGCTGAATGCATTAGGATTGTCATACATTAATGTGTTGAGGTCGCTTCTATTACTAGCTATCCATAACTGAGGTTTGATTGTTAATTCTGAAGCTTTTGGTGCATCGAGTGTTCTTGGGAAAGCCGAGCCTGAGCTGAGAAATGGAGCGAACCATTGGCGTCGTGGGTTGGGGCGTAGCCGCGCTCAGTACTGGCGTGGCAGGCTGGGCGCTGTACAAGTGGTGCTCTCTCAGACGATACATTGACAATGTTGCCACCAGCAAATATTCTACCGAGAGCGAAGTCAACAAGCAGCTTGTGCATCATTATGTTGATATGGAAAACCTAGTGCATCTGAAGGAATTGATATCGCCCTCTGCTGATAAATACCATGAACGGCTTGCACAACTCTGCTCAGAAGCCTGCGATAAGTACGGAGCCGGTAAACTTAGCGTGCTAGATGTTGGCTGCAGTGTAGGCGGCGCCTGTTTTCATCTCTCGAAACATTTCTCAGAGGTGGTTGGCGCTGACACCAGCTTCGAAATGCTGGCTGCTGGTCAGCATCTAAAGGTGTATCCTGAATTTGTTTCGGTCCTATCTAGTGAAGGAGGAAAGCACATCAAAATATACAAGATCAAAGTGCCCGATAATTGTCTTAGAGATAACATCGAATTTGTTGATATGGACGTATGTTCAGATTTTATGAAAGTAGGCTTCAACTGCGTGCTCGTGTCGAACGTCTTGACTGATCTCCAGTGCCCTAAAATTTTTCTCAAGAATCTTGCTGCAGTTTTGCCTCCGAAGGGAATACTAGTGATAGCGGATCCTTTCCTGTGGCCCGGTGGTCCTGAGGATAAATTGAACGGAGATGGTAGTGTGAAAACTAGTGCTCTGCTTGGTAGGATTCTTGGAGATTCTTGGACTAACAAGGAAACAACGTCCATGCCTCTCTACATACCGCAGTCAGAACGCGTTGCTTTGGTCGCGTCAGCCGAAGTTTCTGTGTGGCAGAGGCTACCTGATTCAGAATCGTCTGACTGAGAAGAACTAATGGAAAATTCTTCAGTTTTGGCATTGAAATCTATGGGCCATTATCATTTATCATTACCTGTTCTGAATTATTTAATCTTTCAAGTGTTGCTTCTACATGTAGAAGTGATGTTACTTTAGTATAACTTCCAACTTTTTACTCAAGTTTTTTCTCGAGTGAATGGATGTAATTGCGATTGTTAGGATGCTTAGGTATGTACTAATTTAAATTTTGAGAAGATGAATACTTATTCACATGCGCCCAATGTGTTCGCATTATTGCAAGGCGAGTAATAACTCATTTGATTCGATTAACTACTTAATAATATTTATTTGCGCTCGCTTGAGAATGCTTGGTGAAGATCTTCTGACCTGATTTCAATAACGTCACGTCTCATTCTTTACTGTTCAAATAATCATCTAAGCATCGAAGTCCTTGGAAGGATTCTGAATGTTCCAATAAAAGTCAGTTGTATCAGGATCCCATTTTTACTATCAGTGTTGTCTAAAGCATCAAATCACTCCATTGTGATCAAACTTTCGAAATTTATGTACAGTTTAACTGTCTGTAGTAAAATAATTCCCATTATGTTGATAAATTATGAGACCTATTATTCCTAGATATTATGCTAAGTATTATACAATTTTTTTAATTTTTCTTGATAATAACAGGGGTAAATTTATGATGCTTCATGATTTCTATTGATTTATTTCATCTCTCCCGATAAATCATGTGTCAAGGAAAACTATGTTTGTTATTTTGTGAGATTTAATTAACATCCCATCTTTCATTACAGATATAAGTGAGCCAAACTAATGGAAATTATTATCAATATGAAATAACCATTTATGTTCAGGAGTGTTACTCGCTTTCCAGTTTGTGCCTATGAGAGCAGTTTAGCTGACATTATCAGGAACATTTTTTGTTTGCATTACAAGTTTACTGCAAGTGGTTTATCAGCTGGCTATTCAATAAGAAACTTGTCAAGCATGACAATCGAAACAAAAGCACCTTTGTCGTCTGATGGAACTGGACTCGCTGGGACTGTAGAGATCCTCCCAGAGCCGGTGAAGGGCCTCAGCGACAAGAAACAATACAGGAGCTTGCGCCTCAGCAATGGCTTACGCGCGCTTCTCGTATCCGACCACGTGAGGCATGGTCCTCCTGCCGCAGCCGCAGTCGATGACACCATGGAGGACGATGATGAAGTGGATGACCATGGTGATGAGGATGTTGATGAAGAAGAGGACTCTGGTGACGAGGAAGGCTCAGATTCCGGAGATGATGAGGAAGGTGACTTTGGGTCCAAGTGCAAGAACGTTCCTGACAGCAATGAATACAAAGCTGCTGCTTCCTTGTCTGTCTGTTGGGGCTCGTGCGTAGACCCTCCCGCGCTTCCGGGCCTCATGCACTTCCTGGAGCACATGGTTTTCATGGGGTCAAAAAAATACCCGACTGAGAATGGCTTTGATAATTTCGTCAATCGTCATGGCGGTTGTGATAACGCCTACACGGATTTCGAACATACGAATTTCCACTTCGACATTCAAGAGTCGTACTTGTGGGAGGGATTGGACCGATTTTGTCAGTTCTTCGTCGAACCTCTTATGATGAAGAACGCCATGGACAGAGAAAGAAACGCTGTCGATTCAGAATTCACCATAGCACTCCCTATAGACGACAACAGAGAACAGCAACTATTGAGTTCATTTGCCCCTGCTGGTCATCCAACGTCTTCCTTCACCTGGGGTAACGCCGCCTCGCTCTCTGCCTTGCCTGACGATCAGGTTCACGCCATGCTTCATGAGGCCAGGGAAAAGTATTACTCGGCGCATTTCATGACACTTGTGGTGCAAAGCCGTCATTCTCTTGACGATATGGAATGCCACGTCAAAGAAATATTTTCTAAAATTCCCAACAATGGCCTGCCTCTTCCTGAGAAGTGCCAACTTGAATTTCCTTTCCCTCCATCTGCCATTAATAAATTCATATTTATGGAACCAATGAAAGCGAAGCATGTGGTAGCAGCCACGTGGTTTTTACCATCAATGATCGGCCATTACAAGCGACATCCGTTGAGGCTTCTCGCCCATCTCATAGGGCATGAGGGCTACGGATCTCTTTTATCGTTCTATAAGAACCAAGACTTGGCATATGCTCTCGAGTGCGAGTGTGAAATGGGTGACTTCGAAGAAGGCAGTTTCTGTTCACAAATGCGCGTTTCGATCGACCTTACCGAAAAAGGCTACCGCTCGATTGATCAAGTGCTACTGACGCTCTTCCAATACGTGGCTCTCCTGCAAGACCAACCACCCACCGAGATGATGTTTCGAGAGTATCAACAGATATCTCGATTGAATTTTGACTTCGAAACGGAATCTGAAACCATTACTAACGTTGAGAGTCTTTCTGCTGCTATGATCAAGTTTAGCCCCGAAGACTACTTGTCTGGTTCTACTCTCCTGTTTGAATTCGATCCTCAATTCATTAAAGAGACTCTTGAGCGTCTCACGCCAGATGCTGTAAACGTTGTAGTTAGATCGAAACTTCTTGATTTCTCTGGCGACGATGTGAAAACCGAGAGATGGTTTGGAACTAGGTATCGAATCGAAGAATTCAGTGAAGCTCAAAGAGAGCTTTTCTTGAGTGCCAAATCTACTCCTAATCCCCAACTTCATCTTCCTCTCCCTAATGTTTATATTCCAAATGACTTCTCCCTGCTGACTGCTCCAGAGAAACCACCCAAGTTTCCATCGCGCGTGGTTTCTGACCCAACGTTAGGCTCCTTGTTCTACTTGCCGAACTACAAATTTGAACTACCAATCGTGATCTTAAGAGTGCAGTTCGTGTTGGAGGAAAGGCCCTGCAGACTTGCTGATAAGTTCTTGAATATCATGTCCTTGTTTCTGCAGTGCTACCGATATCAGTTGATGGAACTTCTCTACGAAGCCACTCTCGCCAAGTATAAGTACTCGATTGGGTACACCCATGAGGGGCTTGTGCTTCACTTGTCAGGCTTCACAGAGAACATCGGACGTGTTTTGAAAGTCCTTCTCGATTCATTGCATAATTTTGCGGCAAATTTTTCAGAGGAGCATTTCCACACACTCAAAGACCTTGAGACGCGCAAGCTCTACAACGAAGCTTCCAAGCCCAATACGATGCGGAAGCAGCTGCGCCTGCATGTTCTGTTGCCACAGTGTCATCTTTCTCTGCATGCCCTCAAACAAATACAAGTAATAAACGTTGACGACGTGCTCTCGTGTGCCTCAGATTTGTTGAAGAACGCCCAGGTCAACATGCTAATCCAGGGCAATATCACCGAGCCTTCAGCGCGTGAGCTCTACGATATGATTGTAAAGAGCATCCCTAAAGGCATTGCTCAAGAACCTGCTGCCCTCATGGAAATTCCCGGATATCGTGTGCTAAAGCCAGGCACGACCGTTGTCCGTGTCAAGTCCGTTAACGAAGCTGACGGCAACAGCTCGATCGTGAATTACTACCAAGGAAAAGCTGGTACTCTGCGAGATCAAGTACTCTCGGATTTTCTCTTGTGTGCAATGGAAGAGCAATGTTTCGATACCTTGCGTACTCAGGAACAGCTTTCTTACTCCGTTAGTAGCCAAGTCAATGAGAGTAACGGAGTCGTCGGATTATCAATTAGCCTCACTCCTCAGGCTGAAAAGTTTTCATTGAGCCATGTTGACACTCGTGTCGAAGCATTCATCGAAAAATTCACGAAAAAATTGCGAGAGATGAGTGAGACAGCGTTCGCTACCATCAAGCAAACTGTCAGGCAATCGAAGAAAATCGACGATCTCAACTTAGAAGATGAAGTGGCTCGCAATTGGGCTGAAATAACGAGAAAAGAGTACCTGTTCGACAGGCTGCAGAAGCACATCGCTATCTTAGATTCGATCACTCAAGAAGACGTAGTCAACTTCTTCCTCTCGCTGGTTGATTCGACGTCTCCTGACTATCGCAAGTTGAGTGTCCAAGTGATCGGGTCAGCAAATCATAAGAATTGCAAACCCCCGCCCATGGAAAAGCTCATTGAAGGGGGCTTCTCCTGCATGCAATTTGAAGGCGCTGACGACTCGGTCTCCGCTTCTCAGAACAACACGTTTTATGTGTCCGACTGTCAGCAATACATTGATTGCTTGCAAGAAATGCCGCATCATCCTATTGTGCACTGCTAGTCGATTGAATTCTAAGTATTCGCGGATCACGATTCCATCTAGAGAAGAATATAGTAATTGTCTACAGCATCCCTCTTTGTCTAGTGATCCGATACACTTTTGAACGTTTTTTCAAACGCGTTTTTTATTCTTTAGAAAATTAACTTATTTGATGAGAGAACAGTGAATGTGCTTTCTGTACTATAGACTTATGCTTCTTGAATTCCAGTTTTTTCGTGAAATACTTTTCTCGATTAGAATCCTGAAATCAGGCATAAAAAAATTAGTAAACTCTCAGGTCAGTTTCATCTTCGAAGACTGATATTTGTCGAGGAGGTATTATAGTGCGAGAATAGCAATAGTCAGTATTTACCCATTCATTGCATGCGATCGTGCAGGGCGTGATCGACACTAGATTCGTCATCATTTCCCCACCTTTCAGCTCCTAAGTCTCAAATGGTTTTCTCAGCACTGCATTTCTAGCACGCGATGATGAGTCAACACTATACACGATCAATGTAGACGCCTTGTGTTGCGGCTTGATTAATCATTATTGGGTCGGTTAAGTATTGGATAAAAAGACTTGTTCACATGAAGGATATTGATGTATTTAGAGGGTTGAATAAATTGAAACCAATAATTGGCTTGAAATGTAACAATAACTAATGTCTTTTTTTACTAAAATAAATTTTCACTCACAGCGAGTTTCATAACCACCAAGAGTAAAAATGAATATCTCGAGTTATTTATTGCTCATCAGTGTCACATTCAACGAAGGTTAAGAACCAGGGAAGTCATCGGGCAGCCGAGAACTGTTCAGCCAGTGCTAGATTTGGGACGAGAGAGTCTGCGTCTCAGGTCGAATTTGTCACTCAAATAAACCGTTGTCCGTTAGCAATGATTCTTCATCTGCAGTAGAATGTAATTTCTACAAAATGGCAAATCGCACAACAGCAATTGAACTTCAAGGCATCAAGTTTACCCGACAATATATCGAAACGCTGTGAACGGCATACGTATTGAAGTAGTAAAATTATAAGAATTAATTTGTGCCCTGCACTTTACATTACTTGATTGCTGATCTTGCCAAATAGTTATTCAGCACAATAAATGATAATTATTTCGATGCTTTATTCCGTTCCCTTCAAAACTACATATTCTTAGCATAAAAGAAAATGAATAACGGTTTAAAAACTTTAACTGCGGGGACAATTTTATTAATATGCCCCAATAAACAAAAGGAGAAAACTTTAATGCAATGGCCGTCGAACGAAATGTGAAGTTGATGCTGTAGGAGCGCGGAAATGTGAAACAGGCAAGGCGCCTCCATGACAAATGCGAGCGCAAATTCACGTTGAGAACAAAGCTGCATAAGGCTGCCCAATGCTGCACCACACAACCATTACGGAGCCCGCTACCTTCAACAGCCGCTACAACCACAAAAAATACCATTATCGACGTAGGCATTTTGTATATCCTATTCTTTCACAATCAGTGAAATGACGTCATTAATACAACACTACGGATTTATTTTAAATCCGACTACCAGACTTCGTTCTTTTTGAAAACCCCGTCTTTCGTGTTACACGCCCATGCGGCTTCGGAGATGAAAATTATAAAGTCAAAATGTGATGTCAGTGAAGAAAACTGACGTCCGTCACGGCTCCTGATTTATTTATTTTAGTTTACAAGCACAGAAGACTCATTGCAGACATGCACTGTATCCGTTGTCTAATCTAAACTTCAATCTTACAAGAGATTAAATCCTATAGCTATTCGATTCACAGGACAATTCAAGAAAAATTAAGCACGGAATTCGTTCTAAGAGTTTACCAAATTTACGCAATATATCAGTTAGTGCTAAAGCACGATCGGAGATAATTACAATACTATTTGTAAATTTGGAGAGTAGTAGTAGCAGTATATGTATAAATAACCAATAGTATTAGTTTGAGAGCCTAAGTTCGGATACATTCAATGCACGTTAAACCAGACTATCAAAGCAACGCAATATCGGAACCATGCATTTTCCTGCAAGCGATTACAAATACAAAAATTATGCAATTACCAAGCCTAATGAGGCGCCACAGAAATAAAAGCAAAGTCTTGTACTAATCAGGACGCGGCCATATCGTAAATATCACAAATAAAGTATGAAAGTATTCCACATAACAATATAAACTTGAAAAATATCAAAATCCGGACCCAGCGGCATGAACGATGCCTATAACTCTGTTTAAACATAGGCATTATTAATGTACCCAGTTAGCACTGGGCGCAGCATCGGTCACAGTGCGTGATGCATAAAATGTTCATGTCAAGTGCATGTGGCGCAGTCTAGCTCGCTGTCAGGACAACTATGTTAGTGATAAAGAAATCGTCATGCTTAGCAACAACAGGAGGTGCAGAAACGAAACATTTTTGTTCGTAAGCTGTGACGTACCAGGCTAGCAGACGAAATTTATTTTAACAAAGCCGGAGAATCTGAGTATGATTGCCAAAATTTGCTAAGAATGAGCATTTGCTGAGGAGCTGAACTAATTTTTACCCTGGAATAATATACTACAAAATTGTGCGATACAAACACAATAAAATTGAAGATAAAAATACTATGTAAGAAGGAACATCATTCGTTGAGGTAAAATTATCGTCGATATTCTTATTGATAGAAATACTTAAAAATATCAGACAATTGTAAAAAGGATGGACTTGGATAATTATAATTACAGTTTCATGCTAAACTTAATGCACTGGCATCAAGTCTCACGAACTGGCTCGCGTCATTTGCAAGCACCAAACGCTGACAGAGTAACGTCAACGATAGATAACACGGCAACGCGCCTGAGATGCATGCATTCCCGGTCTTATCAATCTCTACAATAAGAAAAAAATTAATTTACAGACTAGACTATTAAGTACACAGTGAAGATAAAGTTTCTCGTTTTGATATTCAGGGAACGGACTACAGTATAACAGCGAAAAATCTCATGAAATTTTTTATGTAATCCAAAAGAAATTCCCTTGTCTGAGCGCGATAAGTCTCGACCCCACGGCATAAAAACCTAAAATTTCATATCAACTTCAAACTTATCGAAGACTGTCTGGATCATCAAACAAGGCGAAAGGTCTCAGTGATCACATAATTCGCATTACAAGAGAGATTTCAAGTAACCAGGCAAAGAAGCCTGTCAAATTTGGAAGTAGCAGTTGCATTTAAGACATGCAGAGCGATGAAGAGTCAGTGGAACAGCACCAGAAACTGACACTCGTACAATATATTGTTTAAACAGAGACGTCAGTAACAGCTCGCACGAGACAGAACACAAGTGCAAGGAAGCCTGCCTACACAACAGCTTAACTGAGAACACTAGCTCCATGAAGGCGCAACACTCCCCATTGCACTTCTGACGACTTGAGACACGGGTTAGAAAAAAGTTTATTCAAGAATTAGATACATTTACCCTAATGACCGTTTTCAAGTCGCCGTTTTTCAAAATTAAATGACCGGTAATTCTGTATTATCGTAAGACTATCAATTTATTCTGCATCATCTCCTTGATCATTTGATATGATCGAATTGTCTAAATCTTAACAGGTTTTAATATCAGAGTAACAGAAATAACAAAAACTCTTCAAAGTGATTTACGAGATAGATATGAAATAGGTACCGTACATCACAGCGTATGGGCATAAATAATTCTTCAAGAAACTTTTTTGAAGCAGAATATCGGTTAGGTACAAGGTCGTTGAGTTAAATTTTTTGCGTAAGCTGATGCAAAATGCAGTAGAAAATGTTGCGACTGGTCAAACGTCTATATTAAAACTGTGATTTTTTTTTTTTTTTTTGTTTATAAATTATTTAGCTGAGATAATCCTACATTGAAGCTATCAGCAGATATTATTGGTATTGGATCAGATTTCATTTGGCTTCGAAAAGGTCAAAATTTCGTGATTCGAGTGGCACAAATTGCAGCTAATAAGGTTAGTGGAACAACTCACATTGGTCGTCATCCAACAACACTAGTAATGCAATATAAGAGAAGGCAACAAAATCAAGCAATTTCAACAATCCTAAGGTAAAGCTCAATCATTATTAACTTGATCTTAGAAATACAAAAAAATATGAGATTATTGAATACTTTTATGAGACTCATAGGTAACGATTAACAGCTGCGGCAAAAAATTAATGACCAGCAAATTAACTTAGGTTGAATGTTTTTACCAGTAGTTGCTGCAGACACCTGCATGCCATTTAACACAATTGACCATGTTTAAAAAATATAAAACTAAAGGGCAATACACAATAAGTAATAAAGCCTCAGATAAACCCCAAAGATAACGTAGTGGAGGTATAAATAATGCAGTAAAATAACATCATATAAAGATATGCTTTATAAATCCATATCATAATATATTACTCTCAGATCTCTTGTTTGTAGCACTTGAACATAATAGCGTGTTAAAATCTATGAAGTAGTAAAAAGTAAATATTAGTTTCAGCAAAGATGGTCTTTGAGAGTTTATCGAGAATCGTACAGCGCTGAGCCTTGGAGCATTAAATTATGTTGCTGTGTCAAACTATTTTCTTGAATGAAGTAAATTATTAAGTGTAAATCCTACAATCCTGAAGAGGAAATGTTGGGGAAGGATGAACTGTTGGCAGTTTTAAAGACTATTACAGATTTCGCAGTATCATGCACTCTGGGAGTCATGTTCACCGCGGCTGTCGAGAAGGCCGGAGTGAGCACGAATCCAGCAACATCACAACGTCGTCCTCTTGTCTGTTCTTGAGGCGTTGCTTCACCACTGCCCAAACTTAGCCTACGTTGATTATCATGACATTCGGAGAGATTAATTATTACTGGAGTAGAGGATCTTGTTTCAGAAGCATCATCTTTGGTTTCATCGACTGGGTGCAATGGGCCAGGTGCATGCAACGGAGCACACATAGAAGGTGGGCAAAGCGTCGGTAGGGCGTGGCTAGCTAATTCGAGTTGATCTATAGAAATACTTTGGTGTGCCACTGGTGGTGATGATGATGACTCAGGAGCAATCTTGTCCCCAGTGAATGCTGGCAAACTCACAGAGCCACTGATACCTTGCCCACAAGACACTGAATCCTGCATGATGGACTCATTGCCATCATGCAGTGGCTGATCAAAGCGAGGAGTGTATGGGGGCAAGGAACCTTCGCTTGGTCTAGAGGCCATGAATATTGCAACTGCTTCTTCATAACTAGGAGGTTTCTCCATCACCTAGAAATGCACTATTCTTAAAAAAGGGCTGGCATGACATAAAAAATTGCAACACAAGGATGAACCATGACCAAATCAACATGAATGAAATTATTTCATTTTACTTACTACATGAATGCAAACTCAAATGAACTACGTACCAGTTCCAACATCATAAAAAATCTAAAACCTATAGGCACAATAAAAAAACATTATAGAATACCTGCTGGTAATCTGGTGGCTTATTGCTGGGGTCGAAGGATGGATGAGGCGCGTGGAGGTGAGGGTACATGGCTGCAGGCCCTCTTAGACTCAACGGGACACTCACAATGTGCAGGTCGCCATGTAGGGCCATGTCTCGGGCAGCAGCCATCTAGAAGGCAAAATAGAATACTATAAGCTCAACCAAAGCAGCAAATCTTAAGTGACAGTTTTTACACAAGTGATACTGGTACATTCTGAAATTTTTACCAAGAAAGAAGCAAATAAAATTCAATTGTTGCATATTCAATTTTTTGGAACCAGTGAGGATGTTCAAAGGAAGGCTTTAGTGCAGATAGCATGCTTCAGCTCTAAGCAATCAGGTCACAGATAAAGATATTAGTAAAATTTTGCTACAAATTCTTATCAAGCATTCAACATTAAATTTCACTGGTACTTCTTGTGGAATAGTTGATTTCTAAAATTCTAACATAGTTGAAACAAATGACTAAATTTGGAGATTTTTTGGCACCCAATATTTGTACTGTAATCATTTCAGAAATTATTCAAAATATTTGTAATTACTGAAAAAATCTCCAAAATACAATTGTGTACAGCATATATTTCATATCCCCAACAATGCCTCAACTATTTTGCCTGACAATAATACCTGAGCAGGCACATGAGGAACCAAGTACATCCATCGGAACATAGCCACAATTATGAGGAAGGATCCAAAGACGAGGAGACCAACCCCAAGAAAGCGAAGAGGTCCAATGTATGCCTGGGCAACACTCAGCCAATTGAGTAGAACTCCTGTGATAAAGAAAAGCTCAATGAAATAAGTCAACAATAAAACACCACTGTAAAAAAACCTCAAGCTCCATGCTCTAATTAAATCTTGTATTTTGGGGAATATAGGATTCTTGGGATTGTTTTCATTAAAATCAGAATTATTTTCACACTGTTTAACTCATTAAATTATTTTACACTAGAAACTTGCTTGATAAATATTTCTGAGCATCAAAGGGTTACATATATTGATAAATTATACATACAGGGCTACTCTAAAAGATGGACCCAATTTAACAAATTCGTTTTCATTCAAGGATAAATTTCAAATGAATAATTTATAAATAAATGCCTACCCCACTCACAAAAATTTAAATTTAGAAAAAAACTACAAGCAATTGATAGATATGGTCTTTACACATTGAATGATATGCAATATGCATCTCAATGTTTTAGCTTGAAAACCCTAGGAGGAAATAGATTTCTACAGTACCCCCCCTTTTTTGGCTGTTTTCTAAGAATTTCACAGTTTCTTTCATTTTTTTGGAAAAATTGAAATGAGCAAAAACTGTCTATTTTTCTGTTTTACAAATGTGTACCAAGTTTCAAAAAGATCCCTTTGTAAATAGCCAAGATAAAATTTCCACCAGACACTCCCTTTAAGTTTAAGGTGGCTGATGAAAATTGTCAAAAGATGCTTATCTTGAGCTGAAAGGCCCCTGGCTGGCTGGCCCTAATCTACAGCCTGGGCAGCTCAAGGTATAACATGGTAGGGTAAACGCGGTATATTCCGACATCGTAGGTAATTCCGTCACCTCTCCAGCTTTTCCTTTATATTAAGCTTTGTTTTAGTTCCATGCGTTCATTGATGGTTGAAATGGTGACGTCATACATTTGCGTGTCAAAATACTGCAAAAACACTAGGTCTTGGCCATAACGACTCTTGATCATAGTGAATTATGACGACCGAAAATTTTGAGATAAAACACAGTAGCACATATATTGCATATATTAATGTTGAGAGGACAATTGGCGTAAAGGAGACATTTTTCGTGGGAAAAATTTTTTATTTGGAAGTAGTCGTTGGAATTACTGCCTAATATGGGAGCGCAGCCGTGGGTAACAAAATTGACTCGTAATAATATACGTTTAAAAATTACTTTTTAAAGACAACACTTCTAAAGAATCCAGTATCTCCAATCTTACAGATGTACAATGAATTTCTCATCTAATTTTCGAAAATTGAAAAAATTAACTTTTCAATTTTTTTAAATATATATAATTTTTTATATAATATTTTTTTCAAAATTATTTATTCTGTGAATTGATTCATGCATTGCCTATGACTTCACACAAATGTGCAAAAATTCAGATCAATTAAACAGGTTAAAGTGTGTCAAATATCAGTTATAAGATTTGTAGCTGGCAAAATTATTTTTTCAATTTTTTTTTAATTTTGAAAAAATTTTGTAATGTTTAGAATAATTTATTTCTAACATTCGATTCATGCATTGTCTCCAACTTTACACCAGTGTGCAAAATTTCAGATCGATAGGATAAGTAAAAGTGTATTAAATTTCGATTACAAGATTTGTAGCAGACACACAAACAAACAAACAGACAAGAAGTGAAGTTAAAAAGAAGTGTTGTAAAAAGGCCCTGGGCCCAACACCAACCATCAGCATGCAATATCTACACATAGCCTCAGATCAATGATCTGTGGGCAACTCCGGCCAACAGTAAATCCGCTCTGCACAACACAGCCACTGCTTCACAGCGCCGGAGCCCAACTGGCCGGAGCGCAACAGGCCCTACCGCAACAGGCGGCGCAGGTTAGGTTAGGTTACGTTAGGAGTAGCTGTTGCGGTAGGGCCTGTTGCGCCCCGACCCCTAATAAGGTTGACCCACACGGATATGACGATTTTTCGCCGTTCTGCGCATCTCTAGAGTGACGTCCCTGTGGGCACAAAATGTAAATAGTGTAGATCATGACGTCGTTTTTATGTCATCTTTGAAAGCTTTTAAAAAAATTGACCTCATCAAAATGGCCCAGGAAAAAAAATTATTTACTGCATGCAACTGGTCTTATTTTAGGCAAAACCGGTGTTATAAATCAGTTTGACGTCACCAGGTGACGTCACAAGAGCCAAGGTGACGTAACAACGACCAAGGTGACGTCACAGTTGGAATAACATATTACATATAACATCCGCTAGGCGCAGGTGCACCAGGGAATACCCTGTATTTGTTCAACCATGAAAAAATTAACCTCGTTAAAGTGGCGCAAGAAGTGTATTTACTGCAAATAGTCTTATTTCAAGCAAAACAGGTGTTACAAATCAGTTTAAGTCACACGGTGACGTCGAAACGACCAAGGTGACATCGCGGAAGGAATAACAAATGACATCCGCAAGGCGCAGCTGCGCGTGGGTCAACCTTGTATTAGTTCAACTATGCTGCCGAGTATCAACGGGATGAATGTTAGTGGATAGTATTGCCCAATACCACCATCACTATTTTAATCCTTCCTGTGCACAAGCATGCTAAGGAATATACTAGCCTGTGAAGTTGAGTTTGGAACGTGTACTTTACTTATGGTGGTAGAGTTTTATCAGAGTGACGGCTTTCTCATTTGCTCAGCAGGTATGCACCGCCTTCTCTAACCTCTAAGTTACGTATCATTAGCAGCTCATTATGAACACATGTGGGAAATTTCCCACCGTTCATTAAATTTCTACTCTTTAAACTGAATTTAGTAATAACTTATGCTGGGGTAATACTAAGATTAGTCTAAGGTAAGTTTAATGTGGGTCGCCTGCCGAAGACCACCACTGCCCTGGATGTAATGGACCATCATAATTCCTGCCTTCCGGAACGTAGCCTTCAACACTTCAAGCTGTCCGTATCTAGGCCGTGGGTCAAACCAGCCCTCGGTCGAACGGCCACACGTCGAAGGACGATAAATTTTGGAACAGAACTATGCTATCTGAAACCTAACCTCAGATGCGGTGAACGTAAAATTACGTAATTTAACGATGCCTGGAAGTCATATTCGATCCGCGGCCTGGTGGGGCTCGGCAGGTGGTGGTTAAGGCCGGAAGAGGACAAAGCCGAGTGATGCACGGCTGATTGGTGTAGGTCCGGAGAGATCCAAGGCGTTCGATTCAGGGCTTATTGGTGCACAAAATTGGTGATGCACGGCTGCGCTCCCGTTTAATGTTAGGGTAATTTAGATCAGACCTGGTTTTGCGAAAGAATGAGCTCTCGCTAGTACACCTCTGTAACCTCACCAAATTTCGTGATCTCCAGCGAGTCTGCCGTATGCCACCGCTACTTCACCAGCATTAAACCATAAGTCGAAATTTCTTTCTGATTCTGTGATTTAGCTATTCCTTGGTTTGACTGCCCAATATTCTTTCGTTTTGTTTAGTTTCGTTGGTCCTGTTCATCGGTCAACAACAACTTTTACTAGCACCGCGCACGTCGCAGTGTCTGTTCCAAGATATTTGGAGGCCCATCACTCGTAGCATGAAGGGCAGGACAGGGCCGGGTTGTCCCTCCAGAAACTGTTGAACCTGGTCTTGAAGCTGCTTACAGATGGCTTCGTGACGACCGACTCTGGCGGACTATTCCATGAGTTAATTACTCCCTGTGAAAAGAAGTTGCTACGTACGCTGAGTCGACATCTGTCTTTTGCAAGCTTAATTAAGAGAGCGGCCTCTTGTATCCCTGTTGCTTGATAACTGGAACTTGGGCTTTAACGGGTGGATAGCTAGAGATCAGCATAGCCCAAGTCCACAGTGCGATTCATATACCTTCCCGAGCGTAACGCAGCCGGGCGTCTTCACGGCTTTTGACACAAAGCGCCCACCACAACAGCGCTGTTAAGTCACTGGCCGGAGCGCATACAGGCCGGGGCCCAACAGGCCCTACCGCAACAGCTACTCCTAACCTAACCTAACCTAACCTGCGCCGCCTGTTGCGGTAGGGCCTGTTGCGCTCCGTCGCTGTAAAGCAGTGGCTGTGTTGTGCAGAGCGGATTTACTGTTAGCCGGAGTTACCCACAGCTCATTGATCTGAGTATATGTGTAGATATTGCATGCTGATGGTTGGCGTTGGGCCCACGGCATGTTTACGAGTCAATTTTGTTACCCACGGCTGCGCTTCCGGCTTTAACAACCTGCACAGTCCGCGCTCGTATTTGTACGTATCGATAAGGTCACCCCGCAGGTGTGGGGGCTTTTCCCACATTTACTACGTTTGACTCCAATGAATCAGTGATTTTGAAGGTTAAGGCAACTAGTAAAATTCACTGAAATCAGATAGAAATATGAGGCGCGGCAGGATGTAACTGTTCGGGTTAAATTACAACAAGAACCGGCCCTCTGACGTCAGAGCCGGCCCTCTGACGTCACTTTTTCGAAAAACTTTGAACGAAGGAATGTTGCCGGCTGACTGGAAAGAAGCTCAAGTGACACCATTGTTCAAAAAAGGTGACAAAAGCTGCCCGGGCAATTATCGCCCTGTCAGTTTGACAAGTGTCGTTTGCAAGGTAATGGAANCCCTTGTGAATCAAGTCACGAAAAGTTCAAGAATCGGCAACAGGCCATGGGCCTATGTCTTCAACGCCGACACTTCTATTCTATTCTATTCTAAGAACAACAATTGGTAATTTAGATTTATTTCGTTAAGCTCACGTGACTTGCTCGATGGTGATAATCCCGGTGAATTGGAAGATCGGGGGTTGGTGGTGAAGACGAGGTGCTTGGCTTGGTGGTGTGATCGTGGTCGCGTGGTGAGTGAAGACACCCGTAGTGAAGTTGTCCAGGCACGATATTTAGCGTAACAGAGATTACGTCGGTGTGCAGACAGAGACGGCGTCGTTACGCAGACAGAGATGGCGTTGTTACGCAGACAGAAATGGCGTCGTTGCGCAGACAGAGACGGCGTCGGTACGCAAACAGAGATGGCGTCGTTACGCAGACAGAGATGATGTCGTTACGCAGACAGAGATGATGTCATTACGCAGACAGAGATGGTGTCGTTACGCAGACAGAGACGGCGTCGGTACGCAGACAGAGATAGCGGCCGTACGCAGACAGAGATGTCGTCGCTGCGCAGACTGAGATGGGAGTTTGCACGTTGCAAGGGCAGATGGACCTCTCGGACAAAAACGCGACCTGTCTCACGGCCGTGCCTCAAGAAATTCATCGTACATGGAAAATCTTCCAAACTACTGAAGCGATTTCAATGAAACTTGGTATATAGATTCCTGACCACCCAAAGGTGATGTCTAGCCCGTGTGAATTTTCGCGATTTCACCCGCGTTCCCGATTTATACGGTAATACGGGCAAAAATACGCATCGTACATGGAATATCTTCCCAACTACTGGTCCTTACCTCTCACCCAAGGATACTTTGATCTCCTTGTGTGCCCCACGGAGGGGGGGGGAAGCGACTGACCTCAAGGTTAGGTCTGGTCAGGAAAGATTCGTTTACTGTGCTCTGATAGTAGTTGAACTAGACCTGACTTGGACCTTACCTGCGAGGATTCTCGCTGTGGTCTTATATGTGCTGGCTAGACATAACCTTTAGGTGGTTAGAAATCTATATACCAAGTTTCATCGAAATCGGTTCAGTAGTGTGGAAGAAATTCCATGTATGATGCGTGTTTTTGCCTGTATTACCGTATAAATCGGAGCGCGGGCGAAATCGCGAAAATTCACACGGGCTAAACATCACCTTTTGGTGGTCAGGAATCTATATATTGAGTTTCATTGAAATCGGTTCAGTAGTTTGGAAGATATTCCATGTACGATGAATTTCTTGAGGCACGGCCGTGAAACCGGCCGTGAGACAGGCCGCGTTTTTGTCCGAGAGGTGAATGATCGTTTGTTCGCCGATGTGGGGTCACTGCGAAATGGGGCTATGTTAATACACTATTCACGACACCATTTGATGAGTAAGCAAGTTTCACGTGAGCTTATACGGCATGACAAAATTAATTACTCAAAACGCAAGTTAACACATCCAACGAACTTCTTGGATTAATCAGACGCTCATACGAGTTCCTAGATGCAGAAGCGATGAAGCAGTTTGTTGCTGTCGTGCGCCCGAATCTAGCGTTTGGAAATGTTGTGTGGTCACCGAGATTTGAAAACGACAAAAATTTAATAGAGAATGTTCAAAGACGCGCAACAAGGATAATTCCAGGCTTGAAGGGCAAGTCCTATGAATAAAGATTAAATATTATGAAGCTTCCAAGCCTCAGTTATCGACGTCTGCGTGGGGACCTCATTGAAGTATACAAGTATGCTCATGGTTTATACAAGGTCCCCGAAGGATTACTAGAATTTGAAACAAGAACCAACACCAGGGCCACTGCTATAAACTAAACAAACTGCGCTGCAACTTCTCCACGCGAAAAAAATTTTTCTCGCTTCGAATCACCGACATGTGGAACAGCCTCCCCGATGACATCATTGACGCTCCGAGTATGAACGCGTTCAAGAACAGACTAGATAAAGCTACGGAAAAATATATGTTCAGATTTGAAATGCCTAGCACCATATCGAACCCGGTGGAAGTCGAGTAGCTATTTCAAACTTTCCTCAGTCGTGAAAATATCCGGTCAAATTACACGATTTTAGATCTTCTGTGAACAAGGCATGAAAAGGAAAAGAATCGGCGACAGGCCACATCGGGCCTACATTGCAGCGCCGAGATCACTATGTAATGTTTCTGATCCATCTTTACACTTGCACTCAACACAACTGAATACAAGAGCTAATCTGAGGGCAGGGTTTCTAAGTTTGAGAACTTACGAGCAGATCTTGGCAGCCCGATGTCAGAAAAGCAAATAGGCGCTAGAGTGGGAGGAGAGTATAGAAGGAGAGAGGCTTGATGGAAGTAGAATGTTGCCAACGACGGAAATAAGTTTTTCTGGACTATTCTCATAATGATATGTTAATCATTAATACGATAAACATAATGTTATGAGTATTAATATTAATATGATAAACATAAAATTAGTTCTATGTGGCGAGATACGCTACACAGGCGCCTATGCTCAAGGCAGGGGAGACGCAGCGCTTCAAGCCTCTTGGAGTATGGCAAGTCTCTGATCGAAGAGAGGAGCTTGGTGCTCCGTCTCTGAACGTCTTCAATGTCAGCACATAGTCTTGTGAAACGGCTGCCGGGCAGAATGTCCGTATTCAACTATGGGCCTCACAAGGCTCTAGTGAAGCTGAACAAACAGATCTTTGTCTAGGAAGTCAAAACTACGCCATATCACCCCCACCACCTGGTTTGCCTTTATCGTCACTCCTGCCACATGCTCCCCGAAATTCAGGCTGCTGTCAACGAAGACCCCCCAGATCCCTTTCGACTTTNCGGCTCTCCCCCTTCGCAGCCGTAAGGCTTTCTTCAATTGCTGATCAGTTGTGCGCCAGGTTAGGTTAGGTTAGGTCCCTCCATCGCACCAGGCGCATTAGCGGCATTACTGATCGGGCAACGAGAAAAGCCTTCTGCTGCCTGCGAAGGGGGAGAGCTGGGGCATGGCGTTATAGGGACCGCGGTTTGCGCTACAGCCTTTGGATTAGAGCGCGATGAAGCAGTGGCTGTGGCATAACGGCGCTGTTACGCGAAGACTCCAGGCTGTGAAAAGTCGCGAAGACTCCAGGCTGTGTTTAATACAAGCACGCAACAGTTTGGCTATTTGCCCACCGCTGTGGCTTCGGCGGCTTGATGTTATCTGGCTGATTGATTCATTTCCAGGAAAGGAAATGGCACCTATTGCTTTAGGCACTTAATCACACAGGCTAATATGCCCGCCCTCTAGCGTGATTACGAGCGGAAAGGAATAGATATTGAATTGTGGGTAAGGGCTATGCAGGGGTCTATACTGCGTCCTCTTAATCGCACAGGCTAATGTGCCCTCTAACGTGATTACGAGCGGAAAGGAATAGCTATTGAATTGTAGGCAAGGGCTGCGCACCCAAGTCACGGACGTGTTATTTCCATCATTGATTATAGTTCGGTGCTTGATTGAAGATGGAAGATAAGGTAAAACATGTACAATGAGTTTGAGGTCTACACATGTTGAGGATCTACATGTACTTCGTAGCTTTCCAGTGCTCGTGTTATAGATAATTTTAAATTATGTAAGCTTTAAAAATTTTCTCATTCTCATAATTGTGAAGGCAACCAAATGGAAAGAGTCGTAACTATCCTAATTACACAACTCTTGGAATAAATTACTTGGGTTATAAAATAAGCAAAAATACAGGGAAAATTCCCTGAATCATCTGTTTATTTACACAACACTTCGGCAATTTGCATGCCTCAACATAGGTACCCATGGATCATGTCGGTACAGCAGATCTGCATTTCGCTTGTTGCGCAAACAAAATTGTTAAGCCTTCATAAATATTTGTCATTTTACACTATAAAGCAAAGTATTTCCGGCCTTTCGTTTACTGAATTTAAGCTTAACCGCAGTTCTTCATTGGAAAATATCTTCAAACGGATGATCAACGGAAAGGTGAATTTCTCACACATACCTAATTATTTATCGGGGCAATTCATGATAGTATATTGTACTGAAATCTGAATTATCTTCTAAGTTCTAATAATGGTACCTACCAATGCAGTGCTTCTTTGAGCTGGGCACCATTCAATATATTTTGTTTGTAGGAAGACTTTTAAAAATTTTTATGATATTGCAATTCCTATTTTATTACTAGGTACCTAGGTACATTGTATGCAGTTGTATGTCATATTTTTATATTTTATTTTTCATGTTCATTAGTCATTACCTATTAATATTATCTTTCATAATTTTAATTTCTTCTTTTTTTTATTTCATCATTATTATTATTTGTTCCTTTTGTACAACACTTCTATTTAACTTCGCTTCTTCAGTTCTTGTTCTTTGTTTGTCTGTCTGACTCTGAGACTGTTACAAATCTTATAGGCCATAGGGTAAACACGGTATATTGCGTCACATTAAGGACGCATCAAGACATGAAAAACTATAAAAAAATAACCGTATGCGTTACCCAAGTTCTGTTTGCTTTATGTGACTCTCAAAGTCAAAACACCGCACCTACACGTCAGCAACAATGAAACGTCACAAAATGTTGCCATATTTATTTAAAAGCCTTTAGAATGCAAACCTACCAATTTGTACCAAATCCCTATATTCCGTCACTGTGTGTGGCTATATTTGGCACATGGTGAGGCGTATTCCATCTGCGCTTCAAATTCTACTGATACGTAATGTCGTCATCCACGTGTTTGAATTTTGTTCGCTGTGTGAGCTGTATTGGATTACAACACGTGAACACGGCTTTGAATTAGAACACTAATGAATATTGAACACTACTTAATTACGCTTTTAATTAACAACTATTAAGCTTTTAATTATGCAAATTTTAATTTTTGTACACAGCTTGGAATGATCTGTGTGTGTCCAATTCAAGTTATGATGGAATTACTTTTCATGTGTCTAAATCTATTTCTCAACTTAATCATATATTAATTTATTTACCACTTGAAATCAGCGAATACAACTATACAAGTATACTTAAAGGATTCCTAATATATTCACAGACGTATTTAAAAGTCTCAAACCATAATATTCTTCCTATACAAACAGTTATTCGCTATTTGGTAGAGCAAGGTCAACTGTCAAATTTGACACATTTTTTGATGATCTCACTGGGTAGCATGCATTGTCTCTCTTTGGATCTCGATATTTTCCCGCTAGATCGCCGAAACCTAGTGTTTTGGCAGTAGTTTGACGTGCAAATGTATGACGTCACCATTTCAACCATCAACAAACACATGAAACTAAAACAAAGCTTAATATAAAGGAAAAACTAGAGAGGTGACGGAATTACCCACGATGTCGGAATATACCGCATTTACCCTACCTAATCAATATTTGACACATTTTTACCTGTCAAATCGATCTGAAATTTTGCACACTTGTGTAAAGTTGGAGACAATGCATAAATCAATTTACAGAATAAATAATTTTAAAATTAAAAAATTTTTCAATATTAAAAAAATTAAAAAGAATTTTGTCTCCTACAAATCTTTTAGGGTAAAGACACCATATTCTGACATTGTGGGTAATTCCGATTCTTCTCAACTTTTTCCTTTATATTAAGCTTTGTCTTAGTTCTACGCTTGCGTAGATTGTTGAAATAGTGATGTCATACTATTGCGCGCCAGATTTATACGCAAAACACTAGGTTTGGCGGGAAAATGTTGAGATCCTCGGAGCGAAAGTCCATGTCACCCAGTGAGAACATCAAAAAATGTGTCAAAAGTTGATAGTTGACCTTGCTCTACCAAATAGTGATAAACTGTTTGTGTATGAAGAATATTATTGTTTGAGACTTTTAAATAAGTCTGTGAATATATTAGGAACCCTTTAAGTATACTACTTGTATTAACTGATTTTCAGTGGTAAATAAATTAATACCTAGATGATTTAGTTAAGAGATGGTTTTAGACACATAAAAACTAATTCTGATATATACAGCTCGGAATTGGACACACACAGCTTGTTCCAAGCTGTGTCGTATCAAGATACAGCTCACACAGGGCGTCAGAATTATGAATTACGGTTTTGAAGCGCTCTGTTCACAAGTCTGCGGACATCACACCACGCATTTCCGTGATGTTGGAATTAGTCTCACAATATGCCAAATTTAGTCACACACAGCATTGGAATTCAGCAATTTTGTAGATTTTAAATTCTAAAGGCTTTTAAATAAATATGGCTACAGTTTGTGACGTTTCATCATTGCTGGCACGTAGTGTGGTGTTTTGAGAGTGATGTAAAGCAATCAGAACTCAAGTTGCGCATACGGTGATCTTTTTATAGCCATTTATTTCTTGCTATGTCCTTAAAGTGTCAGAATATGATGTGTTTACCCTAATTCATATTTGACACACTTCTACAAGTTTTACCTGTCCAGAAGCTTGTCACACTCAGGATGATGTATGTTTATGAGGAAATTTTCCCGCACATAATGAGTTTTTGGAAGTCATAGGTTTGCACAGTTTGCGCAAAATCATCTAAATATTTTCTCTCCAAGCAATCCTGGCCATCAATTCTACGCTGGGCAAGAGCAGTTTCTTGAGGAACAGACAAAATACTCAGAACAGTATGCCTTTAATTATCCTTCAATAATATATGATTTTTCTTGATACAGAAATTTGGTGAATGAGAAATTTAGAACTTTATTTTAGAAGACATTTTCTCCTAATTCATATGGTAACATTGTCTGTTTCAAAGCCGCAGTTTACGATTACTGTACGTTCCGTAACCGATAAGCGGAGCATCAGAGGTAACNGTCACACTTGTTTGGTCGGGAGATGGCTTTGTGCTGCGCTCTGATTGGTTCAGGGAGCACCAGTAGCCTACGTGGCGTGGGCTGGCTGTAACGTGATGCAAGTTGGCGGCATTGCTGTTGGGGAAAGTAGTCTAGCATGAACCATGATAAGGTGAGCATCTTGCAAGTGTGTGCTATTAACAACTGTGAGACTAATTCCAACAGCACTTCAAAATCGTAATCATAATTCCGACACCTTGTGTTGGAATTCCAACACCCTGTGAGAGCTGTGTTGGAATATGACACAGCTCGGAACAAGCTGTGTGTGTCCAATTCTGAGCTGTGTCAGAATAAGTTTTTATGTTTCTAAAACCGTCTCTTAAATTAATCATCTATTAATTTATTTACCACTTGAAATACTCAAGAACCTTTTCGAAACCAACTTGTATTGAAGTTTACTCACAAAATTGGAGCAGGCAATAAAATAAATTTCCTGGACATCAACATTGAAGCCACTGATAACTTCATAACTTCAGTATACCAAAAGCCCACCAATAACGGAATATACCTCAATGCGCGCAGCAAATGCCCCCAATGATATATAGAAGTACCATCAAGGCATTAATCCACTGCACCTATGAAACATCACATACTTGGGAGTTATTTCATGACAGCATCTTGAAACTAAAACAAGTTTTCATCAACAATGGTTACTCTAATTCACTCTTTGACAATATTCTGAACCACAACCTTGCAACAATCGCCCAAAAAACAGGAAACCCAACAAGCGATGCAAGAAACCCCGAGCATCTAGTCCACAAGGTCTACTATCAGAATCAATATTCATCTGCATACCAAACTGACGAACGAATCCTCAAGCAGATGATTCGAAACAATGTGGAATGCACAAACAACAACCACCGATTACAGCTGATAATCTACTACAAAAGCCCTACCGTGACCAGTTTAATCACAAAGAACAACACAGCCCTGAAACTACCAGCCCTGAAACGAATACGTTTAAGGGCTGAATATTCGTCATATACGAATACACGTGTAACTGTGGAGAGTGTGAGCCCTGCAACAATTCGTATATTGGCATGACTACTACAACCCTATCAAGATGGCTCACAATGCATTTAGTTTCTGGAGGACCAAAAACGCATGCTATGGACTACCACAACACCAAATTAACCCGGGAAGAACTGGTACAAAATACAACAATCCTTCGCCACAAACCAGACTTCAACAGACTACAAATAATGGAAGCAATTCCAATTCAATGGTAAAAGCCATACCTAAACAACCAAACGACTGGATCCAAATGCACTCTGAAATTTCATGACTAGAACAAGTGTCCAATGGACTGTATAAGAACCATACTTGAAGCTTTGTTCACTACTTCAATTAGTCTCCTCTCTGCAGCCAACCTGCATGCAACTCATCTACTCAGCTGCTCGACCTCGTTGCCTTAAGATGCTCAGTGATGAGCAAAACGTGATCCAGGATTTATCTAACCTTTCATTTGGACAAATTTCAAGACACATTGATCCTATTATTGTACCCCTTATCAGAAAGCTTGAGAGATTAAACTCAAAAGAAGTCCTCAATAAAACTGGCATTATTTTTAACCAAACGCTTAAAATAAGCAAATACATGTATAATTAAAGGATTCCTAATATGTTCACAGACTTATTAAAAAATCTCAAACCATAATATTCTTTCAACACAAACATGTTATCACTATTTGGTAGAGCAAGGTCAACTATCAACTTTCACTTGTGTTTTGATGTTCTCACTGGGTGACATGGAGTTTCGCTCTGCAGATCTTAACATTTTCCTGCCAGACCTAGTGTTTTGTGGAAATATTGCATGCAATAGTATGACATCACTATTTCAACAATCTACGCATGTGTGGAACTAAGACAATGCTTTATATAAAAGAAAAAGTTGAGAAGTGTTGGAATATGGTGCATTTACCCTAGTTGATATGAACTCGAATGACCAACAAAATATAAATTTTTAATAGGGAGATTTCATGTTTATTAAAGTACATGTAATGATCCTTATTTAATTATAGCTATTTAGATCATTAATGCTTTTATCTTCATCCTTGTATTGTTAGAGATGCTCACCACTTCCATCAGATCTTAAAATGTAAAAGTTTAATAGATACAAGTGTATATGAATAATG